GGAACTCCTGATCGCAAAAAAGAGTAAGCCTGCTTGCAATGGTTGCTGACAGAGTCCTCACACCACTTAGTCCAAGAATCCTTCGAACGTTTCCGCTCCTGAAGTTGCCCAGATGGTTCCCAAAGCTGAACAAAATTAGAAACATCATCAATCACGACAATAAGATCATCACCAATCTTCAAATCTAGGAGTCTGCTAGCAACACTCGCAAGAAAAGGATGCCAGAAAACTGCGCCCTGCCGCCAGTGCCTCCTGAAGACCCCGCCGCGCCGAGGGAGGTCGACCCACTGCCTGAGCAGGAGCCGTCTGTACTCAATGCGATCACCTGGTTTAGCGAATAAGTGACGCAGTTCCCGAAGCCGATTTTGGACCCACTAAATGGCACGACCAGGGAAAGCATGACGATGGACACACGTAACAAGCATACTCCTGACGCTGACAGCCTGGAACTCTAGGGGGGGCCCAGCAGGGAGACCACGAGGGTGAACCATCTGAGTAGCCTCCAACACTTCCTTCCAGGCGCGCTCCCTCCAAGCCTCATACGTTTGGTTGAGCAGCCGAATACCGGCCTGACGAGCATTCCCAGAAAGCATAAACGAAGCACCATCCTCATCGTCATGTTGGTCCAGGAAGGCCTGCAATGGTCCCTGAAGATCGTGATACTCAGGTGGGGCCCTACGAGGGCCGATACTGGGCTCAGGAGGGGCGACTTGGTAAGGCTTGGGAACCGAAACCATGACATCTCCTCCGCCATGCTTCAGACCAGGGTACACTGGCCGATGTGGGCTGCACGCCCCGTGCAGGTCAGCGCTGACATCGCCGCCAACTCGGTCAAGAATCCGACTAAGGATGAAGAAGTCGATAATAGTTGCCTTATCATCCGAGACGGAAGTGGGGTGGGATGTGGCACGAACTACACCCTGCAGCTTGGTAAGAGGCTCCCACGCTGCAAGGACACCTGGCTTCACATTGAAGCTCCCACCTATGATGTAGGGCAAGCCGTGACCTACGATGTCCGAGACGATAGCCTTAAGGACCTTGAGGTTCACACCTACGAGCCCGATGGAGTCCTTTAGGTAGACGGAGTAGCATGAAACAAGCCCAAAACTCCCACTGCGTAAGAAGCACCGAGACACTCTCCCAGGAAAGAAACAGCTGGAGGTCCCAGGGGTATTCCAACAGTCCAAGTGCCTACGAGTGACGATCATGGTGCCTCCTGAGGGGTTCCCCGAGTCAGTGGAGATGCAATCCGATGTGAACACTCGCCAGCCTTCACGCTGAATCGAAGCAACAGCCTGCAGCAGTAAGGGACCCCGCAATTTATGCTCCTGAAAGAAACAAGCAGAGGCATCCGTGTCCTTGAGGAGGTCCCGAAAGCCTAGCCCACGCTTTTTCCGAGAAACCTGCCCCTCACCCTCCTCACGAGCAGTTGACTGCATGCTGGTGCCATTAAAGGTGACAAATTTGAATGCCGACTTCGCCTTTTTGCCTCCCAAGAGTGAAGGGTCTGGCGCAGCCTCCGACGCTCGGGTGAAGGTCGTAGCTCGAGCCGCAGACGAAAAGGTTGACGTGCCTGTTGAAGTACTTGTCACTCCACAGGCCGACGTCTGTGATGGTCCTGTCACCGCCACAGTTGAAGCTGCCGACGAACTCGCAGCCCCCGAACTTGATGATGCCGATGTAGCGCCGTCACCCTCTTCGAGGCCTCTGCCCGACGAGGACAGGGCTGAGGGGCGGCTATCACATAGAGTCCCAGGCTGAACCTCCTGGATGTAGTGACGGGTCCAATGAAGCAGCCATTGGGCGCGGTCTTGGAGAGCGATGCCGTGCCTTCTTCGCCCGGGAGCGAAACGCGTCGAGCAGCTCGCGCTCGTGTTCGTCGGTGAGGCCAGCGACGGAGCCAACGACCTCTGCCAATTCGGACACGCCAACACGCATGACCTCGTCCTCGACTGGCAGAACACCTCCTTCATCAGCGCCACGCCAACTGTGTTCAGCGTCAGGGTCACGTGGGCCTGGGTAGTGTGGATGGCGAAACACCTCACCGAACTTCGCCTCCAGGTCCTTGTAAGCAGTCTCCATTGAAGCCCGCAGTGCCGTTGGGTCATTCTGCTCGCCCAGCCCCGCCAGGTGCGCTTTGAAGGCCTCCAGCTGCTGCACGAACTCATCGACCTTGGGCATCGACGGGACTCGCATGGCCACAATCTTCCGAGCCTCAACCAAGCCAATCTTCTCCTGTGCCAAGTCTGCTGCCAACTGTGCACGCTTATCCTCCAAATCTGAAATCTGGGTAGACAGCTTCCCGTGGGCCTCTGACATGTTGGCGATCTTCTTCTCACGGCGCTTGATGTCCTGCTCCACTTTAGCCATCTTTTGACTGATCGGGGCAGAGGCATGCTTCTCACTCTGGGCCGTGGTCCATGCCGCCGAAATAGCGTCACGAACTGCTGGGGAGAGAGTGTCTTTGAGCTTGCCTTCTGCCAACTGATTGAGCCGATGTAGGTCGTCGAGGGGGCTGGCTCCTCCATAACGATTGGCATTACCCCCTCCTTTGTGACCATCACGACCCTTACCACCACCTTTGACTGGTCCTTGGGGTCCCCAAGCTGCACCATCGCCACGAGGAGGCCCACCCCCACGAAGAAAAGGAAGCGGGCTGCGGCAGTGATAGCAAAACTTGAAGTGGCCAGGGTTCTTTTTGCACCCGCACGTTGGACAGATGGGCCCGAGTCCAGCATTGAACTGACCACCACCTGCACGACGCAAGTACATCACTGCGCCCCCCGCGGGAGCCGAAAGCTGTGCTCGATCGAGCAAGTTGCTGAAAGCTGGCCGAGGCAGCCAGGCCTGAGGAATGGGCTGCCCTTCAAACTTGACCTCGAGCCTTGAGCCAAAATGGCTACGGTCCTCCTTCTCCTCCTCCTCCTCCTCCTCCTCCTCCTCCTCCTCCTCTTCCTCCTCCGCCGAGTTCGGTCCGACCCCTGGGGCTCCACCCAAGGCTTGCCCCAAGAATCTCTCGTGTTCCCTCCTCCGCGTCAGCAGGACGCGGCTTGGCCCCTGCGTTTTCCAGGGGGTGGAAGGGCTGCAATGTGTGGATTGGGCGGATGTTCCGGAGATGCTCAGCGGCTCAGCGCTTTCCCCCACCCCCCTTTTGTGGAGGACGGCGGCCATTCGCACTTGGACGGGCGGGTGGGTGTGCGACACCCATCTTCGCAAGCCTGACCCCCGATGCATTGTGAGCTGTGATGCCCCAGGCTCTCTTGCTCACTACGCGAGGCGCCCTGGAATCCTCACATGGGTGGCCCTGGCTGCCGGCACGCCAATGCCGTTGTCCATACTCCACTTGTGTGCCATCTGTCCTTGCCCCCTTCCTCGGATGTGGTGTGTCGCTATCCCTTATCACTTCCATCGCCTCCTCAACAAACGGAGAGGGTTAGGCGGATGGGTGCCCTCTGATTCCGAGGCTGCGGATTTCGCCCGCGCTGCACGTCTCGCAGTTGACCTCCCGCACAGTGCGGGGGCTCGTCGATGACTGTGGATGGACATCTCTTGGGGACGCTCGGCCTCCTCCTCTTCCCTCTCCTCCCTCCTCCCGGCGCACATTGGAGGCTTCTCTAGGGTCTCTGAAGGCCTTTGGGGGCTCTGGGGAGTCAGTTGGGGCCGCATGGGGGGCCTCTCGGGGGAATAGCGGGACCCTTCGGGGCATCCGAGGGCCTCTTGCGGACTTCTAGGGGCCAATTTTGCTGGTCGATCGGGCGTCCTCGGCATATCCTGCGGCATTTTTTTTTGAGGGGGGGTTATGGGCCATCTTGGGGACCTCTTGGGAGCCTCTTTGGGCCACCTTGGGGCCCTCTTGGGGCGGCTTTCAGAAGCCCGAGATGGGGAGAACGGGACATCCATTGAACAACCAAAGGGGGACCAATGATGTTTGCCTCTGGCGCCCCCCTTGGGTGATCCTCTTTGAAGCTCTTTTTGGGGGGGCATCTTTGAGGCGATTTGATTCATCTTCGGGCCATCTTGGACCCTCTCGGGAGCCTCCTGGGCCGTCTCGGAGCCCTCAAAGAGTCGCCTTGAGCCCTCAAGAGGTCCAACCTGCAGAACTGGTTTTGGTTTTCCCGCCAATCTGTGGGTCTTTTCCCAGAAGGGCGGCGACAATACAGTGGAGGCCCATTCCAAGAAACACCCTGCTTGCCTCCAGGGTGCCATGGGTTTCTTGGGCTTCGGTGTTTTCAAGCGTGACGTTCCCACGCCAAAAATCAGTGGACGCCCTGGAGCCTCAGGGTTGGGTTTCTTGTTGAAGGTTTCCTGTGGGCTGGCCTCCGCCGCACAACAGGATTGCACTCGAACACGCCCTGGCGTGCCGCTGGCACGGAGGCGGATATGCTGTGTGGGATGACCACGAGTTCGTTAACAATTACGACGCAGGGGTCGAGACGGCGTTATATCGCATAGGCAGATCAGCATTCGATAGAAAGTTGTTGCCCTCCCTCGCAAACCCGAAGGGCCAGTCAGGCAGCTACTTCAACGTGAGCTTTCCCAGAGCAGATCTGTTCTTCTTAGATACCCGGTCATACCGAGACCCGCTGCCCTCGCGCGCGCACGGGAAAGACACGGGTGCCTGCGGCGTCTCCATGCTTGGGATGGAGCAGAAAAGGACATTCCGCAGGTGGCTTGCGGACGTGTCACCACGAAAGTGGGCCGTCGTAGTTTCAAGTGGCATGCTCAATGACTATCCCGGGGACGAGGAATTCGACATGTCTGGGGACTGTGCGAACGTTGATTGCAGCAGCGATGTGTGGTACAGGTACAAAGATGAGCGTGACGAGATCGTTGACATGGTTGCTGGTGCGACACCGAATGCACTTTTCCTGAGTGGCGACTCGCACTACGCAGGAATGTTCAAGCTTCCCAGCAACACAAGCAACAGTGTTCTGGAGGTGTCTGCTTCGCCGCTCGGAGCCTTCAGTTTCTTACCACCTGACTCGGCAGTGGAGGCGATGAACAACGGAGGGGATGTAGTGTGGATAGGAAGCGCTGTTGACATGACTCGGGTATTCGGAGAAGTTGAGATTTCCCACGACATGGCTCTCACAGCCCGTATTTTCTCTGTGGACGCAGGTGGTGAGGCCAGGCAGCTTTTTTCCCATACGCAGCAGTTTACAGATGCGCCTAGTAAAGTAGCCCAGGGGTAGAGCCCCCAGGGGTATCCCAGGGGTAGGAGCCCCGACCAGCGCCACGGCGTATGTGATCAGCACCCCGGCGGTCGGAACCCCGACGGGCACGAACACTCTCCTGTGCAGCGCAGACTTCGGTGCCTGGCTGCCAGCTGAAAGAACCAGGTTGTCTTATCAGTACGTCTTGGCAGAGAGTTCGTCGCCCAGAGGGCCACGGCGACGGAGAGACACAACGTAGCAGACGAGCAGTCAAAGAGACGCGGGGGCATACAAGATGTGCCCCACTTGCATCCGAGCGCACGGTTTTCATTCCCAACCTTCCTGCGTTAGGTTCTCGCTTTGAATGCAGTACTGGGGCCGCCACCTTCCTCCTTCCCGACTCCCCTCTTCCCTCTTCATCTTCCTTCCTGCCTCTTGCCTGGGTCGCACCTGCCTGCCAGCCTGCCTGCCTTGGCGTCCTACGTGACCTCGCAATGCCGTGGGGGGTGCCATCTGCGAAGCTGTCGCCACATTCGAGGGCCGCCGGGGGTCCAGCGCAATGACGTTTGACCGCAGATTAAGATTAGACCTCGCCATGCATGGTGAGCTGCGAATTGCGAAACCGTTGCCACTTTCGAGGGCTGCTAGGGGGCACCAGCGGAGCGACGCGTCGCCGCAAACTCAGATTGGACCTCGTCATGCCGGGGTGGTGCAAACTGCGACACGGTCGCCACTTTCGATGGCCGTTACGGGGTCCAGCGGAAAGATGTCCCACCGCAGACTCAGATTCGACCACGGCATCCCCCAGGGTACTTCGAACTGCGACACGGTCGCCGCTTTCGATTGCCGCTGCGGTGTCCAGTGAAATGACGTCTTACCGCAGATTCATATCATACCTCGCCATCCCTTGGGGTGGGGCTGCGCGAATGGCGAAACGGCCGCCACTTTCGAGGGCTGCTGGGGGATCCAGCGGCGTGTCGCCCCGCCGCGGAGTCAGATTGCATTTTGCCATCGCAGAGGGGCCGCGAACTGCGAAACGGTCGCCACTTTCGAGGGCTGTTGGTGGGTCAGCGGAGTGACGTCTCACCGCAGATTCAGATTAGAGCTCCCCATGCCTCAGGGGTGTGAGCTGCCCAACTTCGAGGGTTGCTGGGGGTAAAGCGGAGTGACGCCTTACCGCATTTTCAGAGACCTCGCCATCCCCGTGAGGTGTGTGGCCTGCGACATTGTCGCCACTTTCCATTGTTTATGGAGGTCCAACGGAGTGACATCTTACCCCAGATTCCGATTCGACTTCGGCGTCCCCAGGGTGGGTGCGAATTACGAAATCTTGCCTCCACGTCCAGGACTGCTGGGGGGTCCAGCAGCGCGTCGCCCCGCCGCGGATTCTGATTAGAGCTCGCCGTCACAGGAGAGCTGCGAGCTGCAACACGGTTGCCACTTTCAAGGGTTGCCAGGGGGGTCAGTTGAGTGACGTCTTACCGCGGATTCGTATTAGACCTGACCATCCATGGGGGAGGGGGGGTTGCGAACTGCAAAAGTGTCGGTTCCAGGGCTGCTGGGGGGGGTCCAGCAGAGCGACGTCTTAACGCAGACTCGAATTAGACCACGCCATCCGTGCGGGGCTGCGAACTGTGAAATTGTCGCCACGTTCGAGGGTTGTTGGGGAGTCCAGCGGAGTGGCGCTTTGCCGCAGATGTTGATTAGACGTTGCCATCGCTAGGGGGCCTCGAAGTGCGACATTGACGCCTCTTTCGAGAGCTGCTGTGGGGTCCAGCGAAGGGACGTCTTAGTTACCGCAGATTCAGACTAGACCTCACGATCCCCGTGGGGCTGCGAATTGCGAAACGGCCGCCACTGTCGAGGGCCGTTGCGAGGTCCAGCGGAGTGACGTCGTACCGCAGATTCAGACTAGACCTTGTTGTTCCTGGGGTGTGTGAGTTGCGAAACGGTCGCCATTTTCGAGGGTTACTGGGTGGTCCAGCGGAGTGACGTCTTACCGCAGATTCTGATCAGAGCTCGCCATGCTGGGGGGGGCTGTGATCTGCGAAACTCGCGCCACGTTCGAGGGTTGGTGGGAGCCAAGCGGGGAGACGTCTTACCGCATGGGGGTCTGCGACTTGCAAACCCATCCCAGGGGTGGGCTACGAACTATGAAACTGCCGCCACTTTCGAGGGCACCTGGGGGGTTCAGCGTTGGAATCCACTGCCCCTCTGTTCCGAGGCAGTTGTATAGGAGGGGGTACAGACGACAGAGTGTTTACACAGTTTGGAGGAATTCGTGAATTCAGTATAGGTCGGGCTTGGAGTGCCTCGAAGAATGCGCGCGCACCCGAATCGCAAGCATATGGCTATATGCGGACCGATGACAGTTTGCTTCCCGTCGTCGTCCTCGCCCTTGCTCCGCCCCCCTCCTTACCCCCCCCTGGATGGTGTCGAAAACGTCCGCAGCTCTGGCGAGAGAGCGCCCCTTTCCACCTCCCTCATTCCTCGTTCCTCTTCGCTTCCCTGTTCACTGCTCGTCGTCGTACCTCATCTTCCCTCCTTGTTCGACGAAGGGAAGGGAAGTCCCTGGTGCCGCGTGCCCGCATCAGCTGTGTACCAGCCGTTCGATATCCGAGCACCGCGGCGCAACCAAACAGAGGGGATTGCCCATGCGAGCGTTCGGGGCGCAATCCACACGCGGGCGGCAACGCCGCCAAGCACAGTAGCATCGCGAACATGTAATTGCACAGGTGCCTGCGGCAAGGTCCGCCCCCATGCCAGCGCAAAGGTGTGTATGGCGACGTGTGGAGCCTTGATTGTTAAGAGGTCCATGACATGTGACAACTCTTGTCTTCTCGGACTGCTGTGCGGCCTTATGTGGGGTCCTTCGGGGCCCTTTGGGGGCGTTTTCGGGCCGTCGGGGGCCGCTTTGTGCGGCATTTCACCGCGGCCGCCCTTGGCCAGGGAAACGCGTATTTGCAGTTCCCTCGGGGACGCACTGGGCCGAAGAAGAAGTGGCATTCCCCCTGGCTGGGTGCGTCGACCCCGGTTCTGGGCTGGCAAACTCGGGGCACCCTCGAGGTGGCGAGCATTTACCATTTCGAAATACACAGATCAAGTTGTGATCTGTGTACACAGTTGGTGTCTTCAACTGTGTATTTCCGTGTGTGGGTCCCTGCCCAGGCTGCCCGTCGCCTGCTGGTCGCGAAGCTTGACGGGATGCTGCCCCCGCGCGTCAGCATGCGCCCGCGGTTGCTGGAGCACCTGGACCTCGACAAAGGGCTCGCAAAGGACGCCGAGGGCGATGTCGTGCACGTGGCTGTCAGCCCGCAGGACGAGGACGACACAGAGGCAGTGAAGGCCGAACAACGCCTGGCGTATTTGCGGTACTTGCTGGTCGGCGCGTGGGTCCGCATGGGCAAATACATGTTTGGTCACTGCGGCAAGAAGTCCGCGGGGCTCGGCGACAGCATCGACACGTCGGAAGCGGGGGGCCTCGTCTTCAGCGAGCCGCTGACCTCGAGCCCGTCTTCCGACTTCCGCAGTCGTAGGGCCACTCGCGCAGGCTTGGTCATCTCCCACGCCGTTCTCCTGACGTCCAAAGCGTGCCAGGGCCAGACCGTGCGCCGCGGAGTTATGGTCGACGCCGGCTGCAATGACGCGGGGGACGGACGGCCTTTGGCTGCATCTCGTGCGCGATGCCCTCCAGGCCCACGAAGGTCGAACACATTTTGAGGGGGCGCGACGCCCGGCTCGATTTCTTGTCCCGCGGGCCGCTCGCGGATCTGGCGGCGCGCCCGCGGTCGTTTCGCACCCGCATTGAGAAGTGCAGGATGGAAGCGCCGAGGCTGGTGGACGAGCGTGGCCCGACGCGCTTGCTGCGCTAGCTCTGGACATCTCACCATCGGGGGCGCCAAAGCAACATGGCGCGGGGCGCGCTGCTTACCAGCTAACCACTTGAAGCAGTCGCCGCCACCCTCTGCCCCCTTCTTCCGCCCCCTTTCGTTGTCGTCCTCTGCCCCCTTCCTTTGTCCCCGCGCTGCTGCCGCGTTGACGTCTCGCCCCCCCCCGCCCCCCCTTTTGGCCTTTTATTGCCTGTCGTTCCCGCTCCCTTCATCTTCGACCCTGGTGTTTTTTTCGTCGTCTTCCATCTTGTGAGCGGCGCAGCGCGCGCGCGCGCCCTTCTGTAGTTTGCACGACATATCAAGGTTTTTACGATTGTGCTATCCGTGCTCGTATGGTCCACCGGCCACCCACTGCCACGAGCACGTGGATTGAGTATGTCGCCAGGTCGTACGTTTTTCGTGTCATATCCACTAGGAGCTTGTCCAAGCCGTCTCAATCTACCCCCAGCCTTTTCCTTATCCTTTTACTTCCCCCTGCTCCCCGCGCTCCCCTCCTTCCTGTGGGCATGATGGTTGTCAGGTTGTTCGTAGTTGTCGTTTCCCGGAACAACGAACAACCGACGAATTTCAACCGAGCGATTCCATCAGTGTTGCGGTCGCCTAGCGCTGAAACTGCAGGGGGTGACCGTTAGTAGAAGTGACTGGAAAGGGAAAGAAAAACGAGGCGAATGAGGAATGAAGAGCCAGGGGAGAAAAGCAAAAGCACGAGAGAAAATGATGAGGAGGAAGATGGGGAGGAGGAGGAGGAGTAGGAGGAGGAGGAGGAGGAGGAGGGGAGGAGGAGGAGGAGGAAGAGGAGGAGGAGGAGGAGGAGGAAAAGGAGGAGGAGGAACTACAGGGCCTGCGGGGCAGCGCATCGTGCCCGCATCGGGCGTTCTTTTTGTGCGCATTTGTTTTAATGTGTTATTGCGCCGAGGGGTGCCCACGTAGGTCTCGGCACGTTTGGAACCTTGCCTTCAGTTTAATTCATCTGCGCCGCCCGCCAATTCAAGGCACTCGCGCCCGCCCGAACATTGAAGGTCTTACATTGGCCGTCCCAGAATGACGGGACGGTTCAAAATGCGAGAGATCCATGGCACATTCACAAGAGCGTTTTCTTCTGACTCTGTTCGTCCGGTTGACTCTTCCAACCGTTTTTCTCTATGATGTGTCCTGGTTCTCCGAAAGACAGCCGCATAACAACTGGGTAGACAAACGCCGAACGGAAAAAGCCAAAGAACGCGCGCCTGGACAACCCAATGGCTGAAGATAGTCCCCGACATGCTTGCAAGCGGCTCCAATGCCGCCCCCAAACGGCTCCAACTGGCTACGGAACTTCCCAATGACGCCCCCGAGATGCCCGACTCCTGCAACACCGGAGGAAAATCAGTGTTTCCTTCGTCCTCGCCCTTTCGTGTCCTATTGGCTCTTGAGACTTCAGGATGGCTCCAGTATGGCCCACGAGAACTCCAACAGGGGCTCAGGAAGGCTGGGAGGACTCCAAAGAGAGCTCCAAAAGGGCCTACAGGCATCTGAAATGGCCCCACGAGTGCCCCGATCTAGCCCAAGTAAGGTGCCGAGAGGCTCCAGTATCGAAAGGTCCGCGAAGGCGTCTACGGCTGCGAACGTCAACGTCAGCGTCAACGTCGGTCCTCGTCTTCCGTCGGCGTCGGTGTCGGCGTCGGCGTTGGTGTCGTCGTCGTCGTCGTCGTCGTCGTCGTCGTCGTCGTCGATGTCGTTGTCGTCGTCGCCGCCGCCGTCGCCGTCCCCCCGACGTCTCAGCTGGGGGGGGGGCTGTGGCACCCTGGGGCCCATCTCATCTGGGGGGGGCCTTTGGACCCCCGACCCGGGATGGTCGAACAGAACTCCATAGCCACCGCCTGCCGGGGTCCCGGGCCGTCGGCTCACGAGGCGGTCGACGTGTGGAATCCGAATTCCGACGTTCTTTCTCTCAGCGTGGACCCCCATGGAGTCCCCACCCCTTCCTTGGGGCCAGCTTGGTCGTCCTGCAGCTAACGGTCCTGGGGGCCGGCGAGGGCCCCCAGAGTGGTGGGCGTGTTGTCCACCACCATCACCATAAGTAGGAGGGGGAGGGGGTTCTCTTCTTCTTCTTCTTCTTCTTCCTCCCTCCTCCTCCTCCTCCTTCTCCTCATCCTCCACCTCCTTCCCCCCTCCAACTTAGGGTGGTGGTGATGGAAAACAGGCCCATCACAGAGGCCGACAAAAGGCCAAAAGCCCTGCGTCGCGTGCCTGGCGCGACGCAGGGCACGTCTGGGGACACAGTGGGGGCCCATGCCAAGAAACGCCCTGCTTGCCTCCAGGGTGCCCTGGCTTTCTTGGGCTTCAATATGGCTTTGCGATGGAAGGCGTGGCGTTCCCGCGCCAAGAATCCATGGGCGTCCTGGTGTCTCAGGGCTGGGTTCCTTGCGGAAGGCCTCTGGTGGCCTGGCCTCCGTTGCAGGCCACCGCCTCGCAGCCTCGCCGCCGCTCCTCGTCACCCGCACCAGGCCCTCGCTCGGGGCCCTGCTCCCTCCCCCCCCTCTCGCCCCTGCCAGGTCCCCCCCCAGCCTCGGCGCGCCCCCAACCCAAGAGCGGCCACGGGGGGGGGGGCGGGGCAGCAGGGCGAGGAGCTCCTTGCCCAGCCGTGCTCGCGCCGCGAGGCAAAGTCCCGGGGCGCAGGCCTTGCGGCCGCGTTCGGGACTCCGGGGGGGGGGCCCTCGCCGGGCCCCGGGACTGTCCAGAAGCGACTCGCGATGAACAGCCAGCCCTGGAGAAAGGGTCGAGATTTCTGGGGGGGCCCGTATTGAAGAACCAGGGCATTGCATGTTTGGGATGCAGAGGAGACCCCCATGCCAAGAAACGCCCTGCTTGCCTCCAGGGTGCCCTGGATTCTTGGGCTTCGATGGTTCTGCTACGGAAATCGCGACGTTCCCACACCGGCCATCGATGAGCGCTCTGGGTCTCAGGGTTGGTTCTCTTGTGGGAGTTTTCGTGTGGTCGAGCTTCTGCTGTATTGTAAAACCTGGACGTCGCATGTGTGGGCACTGGTCCACCGCCCATGGCCAGGCTTAAGTCGGGCCTCTCCCTCTACAGGGGGAAAATTCAAAACTAGTCAAAAAAAATAGTCTGGGGACTATTTTTCACAATTTTTGACGATTTTGGGGGATGTTTTGAGTATGTTTTATTTTTCTTCGAACATCCCCCTGTAGGGGGACACGCCAGACTGAAGGCCGGGCCCATCCTGAGCCCAGCATCGGTGAGTGCTCCCTCCTGGCCCACAAGCAGTGGGGCTGATAAGCTGCTCCCGGGCCCTGGATGTGCGTGTCTAGGGTTTGGTCGGGCGTGCCCTCCTACTCGGGGGCGGCAAAGAGGGAGGTGATGACTAGGGGGGGGGGGATATCATGGCGGGGGCCATGATATCTCCCCAGATTTCGTGGCGCCTCTTCCTATTTCATCACGTCCCTGGCCCCCCCCGCTGAGACGCGCACATGCCGCCGGTCATGATTTGCACCCCGCCCTCTTGGACACCCCCCTCTTGGCCGCTCCCGAGTTAGGTCGGGCGTGTCCTCCTACAGGCGGACCTTGGATAAAAAAACGAAGAACAGCCATAACAAATAAAGAATAGTGAAAGATAGTCATCAGACAATCGTCCCGAGACTACGTTTGAAATATTCTTGAATACTCCTCCTGTAGAGGGACAGGCCCGACTGAAGTTTAGGGGAGGGGACAATGACAGACCCCGTCGCCCTGCAGTGGAAACCCATGCCAAGTAACGCCCTGGTTGCCTCCAGGGAGCCCTGGGCTTCTCGGGCTTCGATGGCTGTTGCTGTGGAAAGCGTGACCTTCCCACGCCAAACATCAATTGACGTCCTGGGGTCGCAGGGTTGGGTTTCTTGTGGAAGGGTTCTGGTGGTCGAGCTCCTACTGTGATGCAGCGCATCAAAACAATAAAGGCGGCTGGCAGCGCCGTCTCGCGGATGCCCGTGTGCGCGGGCCTCTTCGCCCTTGCCGCGACCGCGTTGCTGGTGCTTGCGCTGTGCAAGGCGGGCGTCCGGCGGGGGGCGGTGACGACGAGTGGTGGTGGTGGTGGTGCAGCGATGGAGAGGTGGGGCTGTGGTTGTGCAGCGACGGTGGCGGTGGCGGTGCAGCGATGGAGATGGTGGCGGTGCAGCGAGGAGGGATGAGGGATATATGGATGGGAGGGAGGGATCGGGGGCGGCCAAGTGGAGGGCGGTGATGACTAGAGGGGGGGGCATGTCATGGCCGGGCCGAGTGATTGGGTCATTGGTGTTTGGTCTGGTGATTGGTCATGACTGGAGGGTGCGGTCATTGGTGTTCGGCCTGGTGGTGCCTGGTGATATTTAACCTGGAGTTCATAGGACCCTCTTCGTGTTTCTATGCGTCCCTTGGCTCCCTGGGACGCTCTCATGCCTCGGGCCACTGTTTCCGATCCCCCCTCTTTTGGGCGCCCCCCTCTTTTAGACGTCCAGCAGGAATGGGGGGGCGAAGAGGACCGGGGAGGGATGGCAGGATGTAGAAGGTAAGGAGCAGGAGGTGGAGTTCTCTTTATCGGTTTCCCCCTCCCGCTCTTCCTCTTCCTCTTCCTCCTCCGTCTCCTCCTCATCTCTTCTCCCACGTTTGCTCCTCCTCTGCATCCTCTCTGCTCCTCCCCCCTCTCTTTCCGCCTCACCCTTCATCCCCCCCCTCCATCCCTATTTATGCTGCTCCTCTTCATCCTCCTCCTCTCCCCTGGCTGATGTTCAATCGTGTCCCGGTGGTCTTGCGAGTTGATGCGCCAATGGTATATCTATTGATTTTCGATTGCGTCCAGGGTGTGTCACTGCGGGTGCCCCAGTTGTGGTTGGCCGCGCACTGTTTTTACGTCTCTGCGCACCTGCCTCTGGCACCTCGTTGGAGGACTCGTGGAGTGGATCGGCACACCGTCCTCCCACCTCCCGCCCTCAACGTCAGGGGTCAACCTAGACGGTGTCCTCGGGCGAGTTCTTGGGCCGTCTTCGTCTCGATTTCCTTCAGCGGCAGAGGCGGATTGAACGACAAACGAGGGGAGATGAAAACAAAACGAACACGAAGAACGTTGGTTCGGTCGATCCCTGCTTTTCGTCTCGACTTCCTTTTGCGGCCGAAGGCGGATGAAGGACAAACGAGGGGAGACGAAAGCAAAACGAACACGAAGAACACTGCTTCGGTCAAGCCCTGCTTGTCGTCTCGGCTTCGTTTTGCGGCCAAAGGCAGACTGAAGGACAAACGAGGGGAGACGAAAGCAACACGAACACGAAGGGCACTGCTTCGGTCGAGCCCTGCTTTTCGTCGCGACTTCGTTTTGCGGCCAAAAGCGGACTGAAGGACAAACGAGGGCAGACGAGAAAACAAAACGAGCACGAAGAGCATTGCTTCGGTCGATCACTGCTTTTCGTCTCGATTTCGTTTTGCGGCCAAAGGCGGACTGAAGGACAAACGAGGGGAGACGAAAGCAAATCGAGCACGAAGAACACTGCGCTTCGGTCGAGCCCTGCTGCTCGGCGTCCGTAATCCCCGTCATCTGCAGGCCGCTGGCCCGACATGCACGCACGCCGAGGAGCGGCACATGCCTCTCTCACCAGAGCCAGGGCTTTCTTCCCAGGGGCAGGAAGTCGGGCATGTCCCTCTACAGGAGGAGTATTCAAACATAGTCAAAACAGAATACGGGGACGATTTTTTTGTTCTCGTGTCGATTTCGTCTTGCAGCAGAGGCGGATTGAAGGACAAACGAGGGGAGACGAAAACAACTTGAGCACGAAGAGCACTGCTGCGGTCGATCCCTGCTCGGCGTCCGTATATCCCCGTCGTCTGCAGGCCGCCGGCCAGGCAGGCACGCACGTCGAGGAGCGGCACAGGCCGTTCACACCAGAGCCAGTCTAGGGGCACGACGAAGACCGCCCCGTGGCTAATGATGTTCCAATCTACTTTAGCCTGAATCACCAGAAAGAATTTCGAGCACCCGAAAAGTGCCGAAACTCGATGGTTTTCACGTGTCGGGCCCTGGGAGACACTCATCCGACGCTGTTTCGACACTGTCTCGACACTCTTCCGAGTGCTCGAAATTATTTGTGGGATGTGGTCCTTAAGTGCGATGGGAGCAACATAACCCGTGGCTAAGATTAAGTCGGCCTGCCCCTCTACAGGAGGAATCTTCAAAATAGCAAAAAATACGGGGACGATTTGTTTTGATTTTTTGTTCGACTATGTATGAGCATTCGTTGACCATGTCTTACTTGTCGTCCAGAATCCGCCCAGAGGAGGACATGCCCGACCTGAGGCTAAGAGCCAGTGTCATGGGTAGCGATGGAGCGGTGGATTCTGCATGGTCTGCGAGCGGCTCGAACACGCCCCCGCCCTTCGGCGCCTGGCACGGCCCAGGGTGCCCAGGAACAACCAGACGGACCTCCCAACACCGAGCGCGTTCCACTGCTCGCAAATCGCCTACTCGCTAACCTGCGAAAAGCACATGCTTGCCTCGACGCAGTGTATCGTGAATCCCCCGCCGTGGATCCAGGCCATGTGCGAGTAGTTATTTTGCGGGTAGTGAAGCGCGCTTGTCGACCTCAGGCCAGAAGGTCGCCGAGATGGCCAGGAACCTGCCGAACTCGGTGTGGCCGCTCGCTGCCTCTGTGCTTGACTCTGCTCGGTTGGCTCCCGGGCCCCCTGGCCCCCAGGGTGGCGCCAACCAGCCAACCACGAACCCTGCCCACGCCATCGTCGCCGTCGACACACGTCCACCACCAGCTACTACCATCCATCCTTCGGCATGAGTCAAGGGGGCCTGAAGGGAAGGAGTCCTAGACTCCGGGGCGTTTCCCCATGGGGCCAGTTCTTCCTCCCGGGTCGGCTTTGGCGGTCCCAACGCCCGTGGAGGGCCCTCAGGGTTGAACTGGATGGGACCCCAGAAGATCGGTCAGCAGAGGGGATGCGGCCAAATCCGCTCGAAATCTAACCCCGGACCCATCCCAGTGTCCGTCTAGTGCAGTTCTTCACCCCAGATCAGCTCTTCACGGTCCTGGGGCCCGAAATCAGCCCCCAGATGCCGAAGAAGGCAAAGACCTTTCTGAAGCCAGCGCCTCGGACCTCGAACCCAGAGCCTGGTTGCGCACACAACTGCTGCCGTATGCGCAGGCACTGCGGTTTGCAACGGCGGCGTGGTGTCGCAGTGCACGCGGCTGTTGTGGTGTACGGACGCACTATGGTGTGCACACAGGTTGTGCTGTGCTGCACGCGGGCATTGCGCATTCTCGTGCACACAGGGAGCGCGGTGCACACAGGCGATTTATGCGCCGGTGGCGCGGACGCACCCTGGCGGGCGCACGCCGCGGCAACCGTTCCCGTTACACTCCCGCCCGATCCCCCCCCCCGAGTAACGGTTTTTACCCAGGAAAGGAAAACAAAAACGGTCACTTGTTGGCCAGAACCGGTGCTGGGCCACCTCAGACCCCAAGACGGCTCCAACTACCCCCCGCATCCGATGCCGTGCTGGCCCCCCTGGGGGAATCCAGGCTGTTCAACATGCGTGTTCTCTCAGTGCCGCCCAGATCGCGAAGCACGCATCGTGCGCGCGCAGTGCTCACGACGGCCGACAACGCTTGCACAAGAGCAGGGCCTCTCCCCAGAGACCCCAGGTCAGGTAGCAAATCATGGGAGTCTGGTGTATCCTCTAAATTCAGTCTTTAGCGTCGACTAGCGTCGATTACCGGCTGGGTCTCGATGAGATAGCGCCGATTTAGCGTCGGCTAGCGTCGATCAGCGTTCATTCAGCGTCGATTGGCGACGATCTAGCGTCGACCAGCGTCGATTCGCACGACAAGATGGTATGGGAGGCTCCCATGAGTTGCCGCCGGACAGGACCCGCCTTCCTCCAGGACCCTCGGGGCCTGCTCCTCCTCCTCCTCCTCCTGCCGCGACCAGGCCGACCATCTGACTCGTTTTGCCGCCGGCTCTGCACCTGCACGGGCCCCGACCGGGCCGGCCCACCCCCGGGCTCCGGGGCCGCTGGTGGTGCACGGGCGCTCCCTGCCTAGAGGCAGGAGGGCACACACACACACAGACATGCTCGCGTCGGGAGCAACAAAGACACAACGGGAAGTTTTTCACAGCTTTCCGGTTTCTGGGGGCCCTCGCTGGCCTCCGGGACCGTCAAACGATGAATTGTTCGACGGGCCCTCGCTGGCCTGCGGGTCCAGCTTTTCAGGTCTGGGTACCGATCCCCCGGGCCCAGGCTGGAAGTCGGTCTGGGGACGACTGTTCGACCCTTTTTGTCGGAGGTGGGCAGACCTACTACCCCGACACGTCGATTAAGGGATTGGCCGTTTTCGGTTCGCGAGAGGGCGTCGCGGCCGTCATTTTTGCGGGTCTAGGTCTGTCGATTTCGGCCCTAGGTCGTTTTCACTAAGGGGAGGTTTACTAAAGGGAGGTTTGTCCACCGCCGATTTTCAGCACTTTGGAAGGATTTGTTGCGTATTCTTTATGTTTCGTCCAAAATGCCCCTGCATGGGGGACACGCCCGACCTATAGGCCCAGGCTCTTGGGCCCTCCCGGGGCCGGCGCAGGTGTCCAGCCGGCGCCCTCCGTGGCTGGCGAGGGGCGTGTGCGCATCCGCGGCCTCGCGCATCCGGGGCCCCGCGAGCGCGGCCCCGCGGGTGCGGGGCGTGTTGTTCGCGGAGGCGCCGCGCGGCACGCAGGCAGTGGCGAAGCGGCCTGGCTCGCCTATAGCCCTACCAAACAATGTTCTAAGAACTGTGTGTGGTGTCCGCGAAGTGTGCTCAGAACATTTCTGGTTGGGGCTGTCTTGTTTTAACGCATCGGGTTTATGTTCTAAGAGCCTTGTTTTTGCTCTTAGAACACTGCTGGGTTCTGAGAACATGTCGTGGTATGACTATGGAATGCCGGGGCGGTCGGTCCCTGCTCGAGGAACGCAGGCGTGTGACCGGATCGTGCCCCGGAGTCCAGGCCGCGAGGGCGCGGATGCGGAGGTGCCCGCCGCTCGTGGCTCTGGCCTCTCCCTCGTGCCGCATCCTCACCGTGCGGCTGCGCGCGAGAGTGACCGTCTGCCAGCGTGACCCCGGGTGCGGGAGGAGGAGGAGGAGGAGGAGGAGGAGGAGGAGGAGGAGGAGGAGATGGAAGGGAGAAGGAGGAGGCGGATGATGTGCATGAGGGAGCAGGCAGGAGGAGGGGGAGATCCCAGAGAGCTTCAGGAGGCCGCAGGACGCCCAGGACACCGCAGGGGCCACTCCAGCAACGGCCTGCGCGCTTGGGCCTTGGTCTCAGCGCGGCCCCCCGAGCCGCGCACCAGAGGTCGCTTTTGCCCACAGTGAAGACGCTCGATGCTCCTCAGGTCCTTCCATGGCTGTGCCTCTGGCAGGCGCTGAGGGGGCCAAAAGGGAGCTTCTTTTCTGATGATAACCGTTCCTCATTTCAGCAGCCCTTCGGGTCAATCGTACGTTTATCCGAACTATGGGTCCATTTCGAACCGATCGATCTGATTCGACATCGACGTCGGCCGTCTCGATCCGATTCGGTTTCTTTTTTCCAGTCGATCTCGACTCCTTGCCGATGCAGCCCGATTCGAAGCTCATTCCGATTCGGTCCGATCTCCCGATCCGATGCTGACTGAGCTTGGCCGAACCATCGCCGCCAGCAGCGACTTCACCCACTTCTTCGGGCCACCTCAGCCCTATGTGCGCGCCGCCCCCCCAGGGGGGACGTGTGCGCCGAAAAATCTTCTGGCGTGGCCCCGGAAGGACTTCTCTCCTCCCCTCTCCCTTTAACAAGCGTTGCTCCTCAACACCATGCGATGCCATGTAATGCTATGCCCTGCTACGACATCCGACTGTGCGAACAGAGACGAGATCTACGCCATGGCACGGGATGGGAGGGAGGGGTCGGGTCAGATGTGACGCGAGCGCACCTAGCTGGTCACCTCCTCCTCCTCCTCCTCCTCCTTCTCCTCCTCCTCCCCTCCTCCCTCCTCCTCCTCCTCCTCCTCCTCCTCCTCCTCCTTCCCTCCTCCTCCTCCTCCTCCTCCTCCTCCTCCTCCTCCTCCTCCCCCTCGCCCCGACGCTTCCGGGCCGCGCCGCTCGGGAGACGGCATAGATATCTTACGAGTGCGAGGCGTGGGCTCCGCGGCGGGCGCCTCCTGGCCACGCCGCTCGGGACAAACGATGCGCTGCGAGACGGCTCTGCTGGACGCCCGGCTCGGACGCACGCCTCCGAGGAGGACACGTTCAAGCAGTGGCGAAGCGTCCTGGCTCGCCTGCAGCCCTACCAAGCAATGCTCTAAGAACCTTCTGTGGTTTCCACGAAGTGTTCTTAGAACATTTCTGGCGGGTCTGTCTTGCTTTGTCACATCGGAGTTGAGGTTCTAAGAACATTCTTCTTGTTCTTGGCACACTGCTGGGTTCTGAGAACATCTCGTGGTAGGATTGTAGGAATGCCGGGGCGGGCGGTCCCTGCTCAACACATATGGCATCGGTTCGGCAACACCCCAACATACTTATACTATATGTGCGTCGCCCCCCCAGGGGCGACGCGCGCACCGAGAAATCTTATAGTATATGCGTCGTGGCGGGCGCTTTCTGGCCACACCGCTCGGGAAACGATATACTACAAGATGGGTATACTACATGTTCGGGTCGGACGCGCGCCTCCAAGGAGGACATATAGTACTAGTATGTCTCTGTGTGTCCCATCGGTGTGTCCTCGTGCGTCCCGCCCTCCGAGAGCCCTGCCTCGCCGGCCCCCTCGGCGGCCAGGGCGCCCCGCCTGGGCTGCCGGAGCACGGCGCGGCCTCCGGCGGCGGCGCGGGCACCGGCGGGCGCCGGCGGGCTCTCCCAAAGTGGATGGCGGCGGCGGCGCCGACCGCCGTGGCGACGACGGGCTCCCCCTGGAGGAGGAGGAGGAGGAGGAGGAGGAGGAGGAGGAGGAGGAGGAGGAGGAGGAGGAGGAGGAGGAGGCGGAGGCGGAGGCGGAGGGGAAGGAGGAGGCGGAGGGGAAGGAGGAGGAGGAGGAGGAGGAGGAGGAGGAGGAAGACGGCAAGCAGCGAGGGCGAGGGCGAGGACGACGGGTGAGCGGGGAGGAAGAGGGCGGGAGGGAGGAGTTGGAGGAGGAGGAGGAAGCGGACGAGGAGGACGACGACAATCAGCGAGGTCGCGGACGAGGACGACGAGTGAGCGAGGAGGAAGAGGGGGATAGAGAGAGAGAGGAGGGGGTTGGGGGCTTTAGGGTGCTCTTCTGGGTCACGTTAGGGGTCTTGGGGCCGTCATGGGCGCGATGGTTCCGCCGAGGTCTCCTAGACAGGCTCAGTTGACACGCATTTGGCAGTTGTGACGGGTCTTGGTGCATTCTTGGAAGCTTCTTCGGTCTTGGGTCGCTTTCGCGGGGGTTTTCGGGTCGTCTTTGGGCCGTCATGGTGCCCTCTCGGGTCGTTTGGAGGCTATCTGGAGGCGCCCATTAGCCGTAGACGCAGAAACAACCACGGTAACATTATGGTTGTCATGCTTGCCATTGACTTGTGGGATCCAGGGGTCCTGCTGTAGGGCTCATGGGGGGCCTCTGGTGGGCTTCGCTTCGCTTCGCTTGGCACGGTGGCGGAATTGGCTTGATCCAGCAAAACAAGTCAACATTCGCCGCCGCAGCCCGCCTAAGTGTGCTGCCCGGTTGTGCGCGGCTTCCGCGACATGCGCGATGCGTGCGCAAAGCGAGCTGCAATGCTGCACGCAGGCGCAGACATCGCCACTGGTTATGATGCACCTCCTGGGAGGTTCAACTCAGCATCGGCGCTGGTAGAACTATCCGTGGTCTCGCCCGATGCTGTGGCCGCAGGCCCCGAGTGCGCGAGTACTACTCCGCGCGCGCGGACGCCCTGGTACGGCAAAGCATCCCGTACCAACCGCTGGTGTTCACGTGCTGCGGCCGACCTCGCCCCCGGGCGGCGGCCATCCTCCGCACTCTCGCGGCTGAACAGTTGCGAAGGCGGCGCTGCTCCGACGGGGAGCGGCGGCATCGCCGCCCCTCCGCCGCCATCGCCACGGAGGTCCGGCGCTGGGCCGCCACGTCCAGGCCTGCTTGCCGGACCGCGAAAAGGAAGCCACCTCCTCCTCCTCCTCCCTCCTCCTCCTCCTCCTCCTCCTCCTCCTCCTCCTCCTCCTCCTCTTCCTCATCCTCTTCCTCATCCTCCTCCTCCTCCTCCTCCTTTCTCCTCCTTCTTTTCATCCTTCTCGATCCCCCGCCCCCGCCCCCAGCACGCGCGCCCCTAACTTGCGGGGCCTGGCGACTCACACCCCGCGGCCGTGCCTCCCCTGCCTGCTTGCTGCTTGCCTGCCCGCCTGCTCGCCTTGCCTGCCTGCCTGCTGCCCCCGTCCTCCTCCCCTCCTCCCTGTCGCCTCCCTCCTCTCTCGGGCCCGGGGGCCGCGTGCTGACTCGAGATGTCCGGCCGTGCGCCCGCGCCGGCGCGGCCGCTGCAGCCCTTTCTCTTCCTCCTTCTCCTCCTTTCTCTTCCTCCTCCCCCTCTCAAGCTCGCTCGCGATGTCCCCGGAGCGGTACCATACGTGTGCTTGCTTGAGGGCCCCTTTGGACACGAGCTTCAAAGAGGTGAACGCTGGGGTTGCTACGGGGTTCGTGCAGGTTGTCCTGGTCTTCGGCTGCGCCACCTTTTTGGCTGGCTGAGCCTGGCCCGGGCCCGACTGGCAAGCAAGGTTCCCCTCTTCTTCTTCATTTGGCGCTGTTCAATCCGCATGTATGTGGTATTCCTCTTTACGGTCGTTTTGGATTGTCTCCTTATCTAATATTTTACAGCTTGAGGTGCCATATTTCTTGTTCTCGCCTCCAGGGAATATGTTACAGCTTGGGCTCGCGGGCGTAGTTGGTTGTTTGTGCAAGTATGGTTCCTCGTCCACGTCGGTACGCTGGATATGGTGGTTCGGCAATATGTTTTCAATTGTGGCGCTTTCTGGTAATGCCTGCTGGTTTTTATGCTGTTACCGTATGGGGCATTCTGGTTGATCAATCGTCTGTTCGGCGCTGTCGTAGCGGAGTTTCTTCTCAATTTCACTGGGGTGGTTTCGTGTTCGTGCTGCTTGAGGCGGGCCTCGTCGTATGTTCCCTCGTATTTGGCGATGATGTTTCTGCGGGTGGGCCTCTACCTCGCCGGGGTGCTCGTCCTCGTCATGGCGGTGGCGCCCGCAGAGCTTGAGGGGTGTTGGCGCTGAAAAACAAAAGCCTCCTCCTCCCCCCCTTGCCGGTTTCACACCATGTTTGGTTTTCAGCGTGGCCGGCGATGCCTCTGAGAGCGACAACGACGTGCGCCCTTGCGTTTTGTCTGGGGCCCATGGGCGCAGACGCCGCCGCCGCCCCTCGTCCCCTTCTACTCCCGCTCTCCCTCGTCGTTTTCCTCTGCCCTCTCTCTCTCTCCTGTCGCAGCTGCGCTGCCGATTTATTGTTCAGGCCACGGTTCACTGCGTGAGTTTGCCTATTGCAATTTGGCTTGCGCGGTGTCCTGGTTTGCCTTGCGAGCGGTTGACTCGCGATGTGGCTGCGTTACCCCGGGCGCGCGTTTCCTCAGGCCTGCGGCGGGCGCAGGGGGAGGGTGGTAATTCGCTCATGCCACGGTTCTCATGAGTTTGCCTACTGCAGGTCCGCTTGTGGGTGGCACCTGGCTTGCCTGGCGTTTCTTTGAATGTCTCAGGCGTGCAGGGCCCCTTGCGGCGCCATTCAGCCTGAACTCAGCCTTGCGCGTGCCCTCCCGCCCAAGCCTGCGAGAGAATTTGGAAAGCATGGCGCCGGCACGCCGCGCAGGGTCGCGTGCCACGCAGGGCAGGGCGGGGCCCGTGGTCGAAAACGGGCATAATCCTGATCGGTTACCAGTTTCATATTTCACAATTGGGTTTGGTCCGTCCCAGTTTGGCTTCGCTCCTTCGTTTGACGTTTGTTAAGGAATGTTCCCAAGAGGCTTTCGATGAGGGCGGCGGTGGTATCCATGGCCAACCCACGATTGGAATTCCAGTGGCTTCCAGACCCAGGATTCCTTATCCAATGCTTCCCTATCCAATGCCCAAGCCGTAGCCGTTTCGGCGCGACGACGGCCCCACCTGCGGCAGCCCGCGGGCCATGGCGCCGTCACCATCGGACCCTGGCATCATCCCAGGCGCGCGCAAGACACCCCTCTGGTCTTGCTCCTGCGGCTGCGATGGCAACTGGGCGTCCAGGACGTGCTGCCGCCGGTGCTGGAAGGGTGCTCCCACCCACGTGGTGCAGGCAGCCAAGCTCTCGGCAGCAGCAGCCAACGGGCCAGCTCCCAGCTCGTCTCGCCCGCGCGGGGCCTGGGCGCAGGGCCCGCCAGGACAGGGGCAGCTTCTGGCGCAGCTGCAGCAGCTGCAGAAGCAGGTGGCAGAGCTCAAGGGCGAAGCCCCGCCCCCGTCGGAGCCCTGGAAAGGACGCAAGCCCCCGCCCAGGAAGTCGGCCGAGGCGAGTTCAGGCATCTCCTTCAAGGACGTTCGCACCTTCTTGGCAAAGGAGGGGCTTGACACCAGCGCGGTGGAGGAGGCAGAGAAGGCTGCGGAGTCGAAGACGCAGGAGAGCAAGCAGCCTACTGCTCAGACGCAGCGCTGGAGGGTCAAGGCCATGCGAGACAAGATCAAGAAGCTCGAGGGCCGCGAGTCAGCCATCTTGGAGCAGCAGGCCGCACTCGACAAGGAGCTCCTGGAGCTCAGGGCTTCGCTCGGCGACGAGAACCAGAAGCTCGCAGAAGGGGAGGCCAAGTTGGTCAAGTTGCAGGCCAGCGAGTTCCCTGACCCGGTTCTGGCAGTCGCAGCGGGACTGGATGAGGATGTCGCCGCCAGCCAGGAGGCCAAGGACGCCCTCGCGGTCCTGGCCCGCTTGCAGAACGCAGCCAGCGACAGCAAGAAGGCTGCTGCCGCGGCCAGGGCCGCTGCTGCTCCTCCTGGTCCTGCTGCTGGGGGCTCAGACGCAGGCGGCGAGCACAAACCTGTGCCAGAGTCAGACGACATCGACATGGAGCTGCTGGGAGGAGAGGGCTGGGAGGAGAAGCATGAGGAGTACGCTGCAGCCTCAGCAGCCCTCCGTGAAGCGACCCCCGAGCAGCGAGAGGAGGCTAAGCGCAAGCTGCGCGATGCCTTGGACGCGCTCTGGGCAGCAGGCGAGCGGCCTCGGCACCTTTGACCCCAGGCCCAACGGGAGCCTGGAGGAGCAGCGTGGCCAAGGGATTGGCGGTCCGCAGCCCAGCCGAGGGCCCACATACAATAGTGGGTTGCTATTTCAGGATGGAGAGGCTAAAGGCTCGGGCGTGAGTCCCCCCTTGGATCTCGTCTGCACGGCGAAGCGCCGCCCCCAGCCCAGGGCTGAGGAGGCAGGCGCACTGGTGCCCGCCGCGGCCGCATGTCTCCAGCTGGCCAAGCTGGTGCGGCCCTCGGCGCAGCAGGGCGCCAGCTTCCTCAGCATCAACGGCTCCACTTGGGCCGAGTCCCAGACGGCCCTCGAGCAGCTGCTGGACGAGAAGGTCAGGGACGACGTGTACTTCATCCAAGAGACCCGCTTCACTTCGGCGTTGGCTGAAGGCTCGGCCCGTGCCTGGTGCGAGCGGAATGGCATCATCGCGGCCTTCGGAGAGTGCCGCAGCACAGGTGCGGCGGTCCAAGCCGTCTCTTCTGGGGTCGCCGTGCTGGTCGGTGAGCACCGCGGAGTGGCCGCGATCGACCAGGCCTGGGGCCAGCACGCCCCGAGGATCGTGGCGAGGCGCGTCGCCTTCGGGGACCTGGTCGTGGTGTGTGTCAGTATGTGCCTGCAGTGCTCGGTCAAGCTCAATGAGACCAACGTGGACCTTTTGAGTGAGCTGCAGGGTTTCCTCCTGAGTTTACGGGGGCCCTTCGTCGTGGGGGCTGACTGGGACTTGGAGCCCAGCCTCTTCAGCAGCTAGTGGTGGCCACGAGCGGTGGGGGCAGTGATAATGGCGCCCGACGAGCCGACCTGCGGAGATAGCACATGCGACTTCTTCGTGATCTCGGACGTCCTGGCGGGGCTAGGGCCGAAGGTGACGGTGCTCAGACAGGCGACCGCGCACCCGCGCGTCCCCGTCAGGCTCACCTTCGAGAAGCTGAGCAGCCAGGCAGGTGTCTGGGTACAGAAGGGCCCCAAGCCTTTCGAGCTGCCTGCGGCCAAGCAGGAGGGGATCCAGCCCGAGCCAGAGGAGGAGGACTCGCTGACGGACTGGAAGGCACCGCTCCTGGACGAGAGTGGGAGCCCGAACAAGGCGATCACCGAGTTCTTTGACCAGGCTGAGGTGCGCCTGATACACCTCCTCGGCACCAAGGACGGCGCCAAGTACAGAGGCAGGGCGCAGGGGCTTAAGAGGGTACCAAAGCAGCTCATCCACCTCCTGCGCTCGGAGGAGGTGCGCAGGACCAGCCCGCTCACTCGCTGCTGGATCACTTTGGGGCGCCTGGCCACTCAGCTGGTGGCCGCGGCGTCGGTGCCTCACCCCTCGCCTGGGCACCACAAGCACGTCAAGCGCCTGCAGGCGGCCGCAATGGGCTTGGTCCCCAAGTTTGAGGCAGCGGGCTGCGAGATGTTCGGCGGCACCAAGATGTCGACGATGCTTGAGGAGATCTCGGGCAGGTCGCAGCAGGGCGGCATCTTCCTCCAGGCCATCAGTGCCGCCATTGAGGTCAAGCGCAAGGAAGACGTGAAGCTCGCCAGGCAGCGCTGGAAGGAGTTCATGGCCGAGGCCCTTAGTGGGAACGGGAAGGGTGCTCACGCGATCATCAAGCAGGCCAACCTCGAGACCTGCTCCATCCTCGGCCCCGGTGAGGGCGAGGCCCCCCCCCAGTCCCGCTGGTCGGGCAGCAGGCCCTGGGCAGGATCCTGCAGGAGTGGAAGGCGCTCTGGCACAAGGGGAGCTCCTCCAGCGTCCGCCCAGAGAACTGGGGCGAACCCTTGGGGCTGGACGCCACCACGGCGGAGGAGGTGCTGGCAGCGGCGAAGACCTTTCCCAGGAAGACGGCTCTGGGATGGGACGCCTTCCACCCCAGGCTCATCCTCAGCTTAGGCAGGGAGTGCGCCGACAGGCTGGCCGAGATCTTGACAGCCTGGGAACGGCACCCTCAGCCGTCGGAGCTGTTCACCACGATCATAGTCTTCCTGGGGAAGCCCGACGGGGGCCGACGCCCGATCGGTCTCCTATGCATGTGGATGCGCATCTGGAGCCGCATCAGGCGCAAGTACTGCGCGGGCTGGGAGAGGGACCACAAGCTCCCCGAATACTGGGGGGCAGACTCGGACACCTGCTGTGACAGGGCGGCCTACATCCACAACCTTCTGCTCGGCCTAGCGCGCGAGAAGAACTTCGAAGCTGCGTCGGTCTACTTCGACATCAGCAAGTTCTACGAGCAGATCAGCCACGGGCTACTACTCGAAGCGGCGCGGTGTTGTGAGTTCAACACGGGGTTGATCCAGGCGCTGTGCGTGCTGTACTCGGGCCCGCGCAGGGCCAGGGCTGACCTAGCCCTTAGCGAGCAGCTGGTCATGGACGACACCGTCATTGCTGGCTGCTCCTGTGCGACGACCATGGCGAGGATCATGCTATACGACCTCCTACTGCAGTCGGGGAAGCTGCTGCCGATTGGCAGGGTGGTCAACGTGATAGACGACATCTCGGGCCACGGCATCGGCACGCGCAGGCTCGTCGTCGAGCAGATCGCCAGGTTCGCGAAGGGCGTTGCCGCCATGCTGGGCGACAAGCGGCTCCCCATCAACTGGGGAAAGACCAAGGCACTGGCCTCTTCGGTGAAGCTGAGGAGAGAGCTGCAGCAGCGCGCCGACTGGGTCCTCGCAGACGAAGCCTTCGTCGCGGGCCACCGTGGCCTCGGAGGCGACGCGACGGCGGGTAGCCACCGTAGGGTCGGGACGCAGGTGGCCAGGGAGCTGGCGGTGCTGCGGCAGGGCAACAACCTCACCAGGATCTTCGGCTCGGGGATGAGGCAGGCCAAGATCCAGAGGGCAGGCCCCGCTGCCAAGGCCCTGTGGGGCTCGGCCATCAGCGGGGCCCCGCCTGGGCGCATGAGGGCACTCAGGATATCTGCGGCGAAAGCCGCCTGCAACCTGCCGACGGGAGCCGCGCTGACTTTCTGCCTGCAGTGCGCGCCCCAGGGCTGGAGGCAGGATCCGCTTGTGATTGCGACGGGCATGGCTGTCCAGGCTTTCGTGGCCATGAGCTGGTCTGGCCAGGCCTCTCCTGCGGCAGTGCAGGCCTGCCTCAGGGACAGCAGCCGTCTGGCCTCGCTGCAGAGGCCGTGGGCCGCGGTGCGCGACCCCGTCTCGGCGCTGGTGCTCACGCTAGGGCGGGTCGGCTGGGGCCTCAGAGCTGGCGGGCGCATCCTGACCGACAGGGGGGGCAGCGAGTTCGATGTCAAGAGGTTCTCGCCCGCCTTCCTCGCCGCCAGGGTCAAGGAGGACACGCGTCAGGCGGCATCGCTCGAGGAGTACGTCAGCAGGCCCGAGACCTTCTGGCAGTGGCGGCTGCCGCCGTGGTGGACGCCGATCAACCAGCTCCTCGGAGCCAAAGAGTTGGAAACCTGGACGGCTCACCACAAAGGCTGCCTGAGACGATTGGCGTCGCTGGCCAGCTGGCCCCAGGCCCGACTGGCGAGGCATGGGCGTGAGATTGACCCGCTCTGCAAGCTCTGCGGAGCCGCCCCTGGGACGATGCACCACAGACACCATGTGTGCCCAGCCTGGGCGGCATGGAGGCGGGACTACTGCCCATGCCAGGTGAGTCAGGCAGCGGAGCAGGCCCACCGCATGGGGGCCCCCTTCGACGAGCTCTTCAGTCAGGGGCTCTTCGCCGACATCAGCCTCCTGGTGGCCAGGCCAGCCTGGGATGACAGCTGGGCGCGGCGTTCCTGCGGGTGGGGGGGCGGCATCTTGGCGGTGCCCGATGGGCCCTTCGTCTTCACAGACGGCTCGTGCTTGAACGGGGGCTTCCCGCACGTCAGGAGCGCTGGCTGGGCGGTCATAGTGCACGGTCCCGAGGGGAGGCTCATCGCCGAGGCGTGGGGCGCAGTGCCCCCCAGCGACCTCCCGTCGCAGACGGCCAAGGCGGGCGAGGACTACGCTGCCGCCATCGGCCTCGCCGACATCATCGGGAACTACACGCTGCTCAGCGACTGTCTGAGCACGGTGAAGGCCGCGTCTAACCTGTCCAAGGCCTGCGGACCCAGCTCCCTGCACGCCCACGTGTGGGCCAGGGTGGGCGATGCGGCGGAGGGCGTCACCGTGCGCCACGTGCCCGCACACCGCGCGGAGGCCGCGGTGCAGGACGGGGATCTCACCCTCTTCGAGCTCGTGGGCAACAGGCGCGCCGACACCAGGGCTAAGGAAGGAGCGGCATTCCACGCCATCGCCGAGCATGACGCCCTGATGTTGGAGGGCTGCCTGGCTCGGGCGAAGGAGGTGGCCAGGTGCGCGGCGGCCCTCGAGGTGCACATCGCCGAGTCGGGACTCAGGGACTCCTGGCCGCTCACCTCCCTGGACCTCGTGGACCTGGACCCCTTCGCTCCGCCGCCCGACTTGGGGCTGCTGCGGGAGGCCGAGGAGTCGACTGCCCGAGGCCAAGGTGGATTGGCGGCACTGGGGGCGGCTGCAGCGCTGGCGACGGCAGCGGCGGCCAGCCAGGGGGCCCAGTCCCAGGACCAGGCCGTCTCGAAGGGCCGCAAGAGGAAGGAGGCCGACGAGGGGCCAGTAGGGCCCAGTGATCCAGTCGCTGACGCGTCGAGCGCGTCGGCGGCCCTGCTTCGCGCGGTCCAGCGCCGCCGCGCAGAGAAGGCGGAGCGGGCGGCGCCCTCGGCCGCGGGCGCACCGTGCCCGCCCAGGTCGGCCGTGTCGCAGCCCCCTCCCCCTCCTTCCCCTGCGGCCTCCCCTGCTTCTGCGGCCGCCGCCCCGCCTCCGCGTGTGCGCTCGGGCCCTGCTGGCCAGAGGAGGACCCCAAGGCCCCTGTTAGGGGCCCCAGACTCTGGCCAAAGGTCGAGGGTCTCTCTTTCGAGTGTTTCGCGTGATGGCCCGTCCCAGGACGACCCTGTCGAGTCAGGAGTCTGGGAGGTCAACGGCCACCGTCTTCGTGAATCGCGCGTTTCGGGCGGGGACGGCCCTGAGTTTTTGGTGTGTGTGGCATGCTGGATGTACTGCCTGAAGCCCCAGTACTGCCACAGGGGCCTGGCCAAGGCCTGCAGCGGGGCCCAGCGCGCTGACGACCCCAGGGCCAAAAAGGGCTCAAGGGCGCAGGCGCGAAACGATTTCGCGAAGTCGATCCTGCCTGGGAAATCCAAGCAGCCGATCGACCAGTTGGCTCGGCCCACAGCGGCCACCCGTGCCAGATGGGCCGAGGCGCTAGGCTCGGTCGCTGGCCCTGAGGGCATGGGGGACCCCATGGCCCCTGCAGGCTCCAGAGACCCCGCCGTGGTGCCCCCAGAGGTGCGGGTTCGGGCACCCGCCCCGTCTGCCCCTGGGAGGTTGTTCCGCCCAGGGCTCGAGGGAGCCCTGAGCTCCTTCGGCTTTGCCAGCGCTGCTGACGCGCAGGAGCGAGGCAGGGCCGGCAGGGCGGCCAGGACGGCGGACCCCAGGCCAGTGGCTGGTCTGAGCGCGGAGTGACGGTCGCGCTTCGGGGTCTGGGCCTGGTCGGCCGTGGGCCTGTGCAAGCTCTGTTTGCTGGGCCGTAAGACGGCTTCCGAATTTGGTGGTGCATGACAAGCCCCAGGGTGATAGGATAAAAAAAATGCCCAAGCCGTAGTCCGTAGCCATTTTGGCTCAAGCGGTTGCATGCCTTGCCTGTGTCGGCCGTCCGCGATGGCTGGCCGCGGCGAGGCTAGAGGGGCTCTGACTGCTGCCGACGGCGCCGTGCTCATCGCGGCCGCGGTCCAGGCGGCGGTGAAGTCTGGACCGCCTCGGCGGACGGCGGGAGCGGTGACGCGTTCGGCGATCTCGGCGGTCGCTTTCGCCATCGCCAGACCTGGAACGGCACTGTGGACGTTGAAGCCCAGGCTGAATGAGACCAAGCTCGTGGCGGTCGTGATCGGCGGCGAAGGCGGCGCGGCGGCGGCGACGGCGACAGCGCCTCGCGGGAACGCGACGCACGGCGCGCGGCGGAGCAGCGGGAGCAGCGGGACGGGGTGCGAGCCCCGCTCCTGAGGCGGACGCTGACGACGACGGCGCCGAGGACATGTTGGTGGACGACTCCTGGGCCGACGGCCTGGCAAGGCCCGCCCAACGCCTGGCGGCGGCTGCAGCTGCCCCCGCGGAGCCTGCTGCTGTGGCGGCGGGCGGAGTGGGTGCGGCGGCGAACGTCGGCGCGGAGCACCGCGCGGGCGTGGCTTCTGGAGGGGCCGCCGGTTGCGCCGCCACTGGAGCCGGCCCGCGTGACGCGGGGTCGAGGCCAGCGCCGGAGTCCACTCGTCGGGGGGCGGTGGCTGCGGAGCGAGAGGAGCTGCTGGCGAAGCTCCTCCGCCTTATCCCCCACGCCCATGCGAGCTTGCACGGCGGGATCTCGACCTCGACGCTCCGAACGATGGTCGAGCGAGGAACCGCCCAGCGGGAGTCGGAGACGGCTGCTGGCTCTGGAGCGGCGGCGGCTGGCCCTCGCCCCCAGCCAGCATCGGTGAGCGCCGCTCGGGCGCGAACCCGCGGGCTGGCGGCGGGTGAGGCCGCAGGAGGTGGACCCCAAGCCGAGGGCCAGCGCGAGGTGTGGAGTTCACCGCTTCCTCGGGGGCCGGGGGTCCTGCCTGCGGGCCGTGCGAGCACTGTTTGGGTTCGCTGTGCATGTTCAATTCAACAAAGGTTCGCCCGCGAAGTGGTATGCCCAAGCCGTACTCGTTCCGACGAAGGCCTCCCAGGAGTTGCCTCCCGACCCGCGCTCCCCGTGAGCGAGACATCTGGGCCCGACCTCCCAAACTTCCAAGAGATGACCAGGCCCCGGCCCCGAGCCGCGAGGCCCAGATACGGCCTGGCTCTGAGGAGGAGGGGGAAGAGGAGGAGGAGGAGGAGGAGGAGCTGGAGGAGGAGGAGGAGGAGTAGGAGAAGGAGAAAAAGAAAGAGAAAGAGAAAGAGGAGGAGAAAGAGGAGGAGGAGAGGGAAGAAGAGAAAGACGAGGAGGTTGCGGACCAGGAGTAAGAGCAGGAGCAGGAGGAGGAGGAGGAGGAGGAGGAGGAGGAGGAGGAGGAGGAGGAGGAGGAGGAGGAAAAAGAGGGGAGGAGGAGGAGGATGAGGAAAAGGAAGAGAAGGAAGAGGAGGAACACTAAGCCCGAGCAGCGTCAAGAGGGAGAGGAGGAGGAGGAAGAGGAAGAGGAGGAGGAGGAGGAGGAGGAAGAGGAGGAGGAGGAGGAGGAGGAGGCCCGAGTCTCGAAACCCGAAAGGCAGAGCTCAGGGGGTAAGTCGGCCAGTGGGGCCCAGGCCACGCCAGTGGGGATATGGATCGCTCAAACGAGCCTCCACACAACAGGGGACGACCCCCCAGACATGCGACGTCTTGATTTTTTCAGGACGGGGCCCCTGGAAGTCTCGACCCGTTCCCTGGGACCGGCTTGTCACCCTGAGTCGTTGTTTGACGGTCCCGAGGCCCGGCGAGGGCCCCCGTAGGCCGAAAATAGGGAAAAGCCTCCGCCTTGATTTTTCAATGCGTTGGATCTCTGGGCTAAAACGAGTCTCCACACAGCAGGGGACGGCCCCATCCCACCTCGCAGAGGCACGCGGTCGGCCACGAGCCCGCCGTCCTGGCCGTGGACCTGCTGTGCGCCTCGTCCGCCCCGGAGCGCTGCTGGGACCCGAGGCGCGGGGGCGCCCGGTGCGGCTGCCCCTACAGGCGCCTGGGCCGTACAGGGCCCACACGTCAAAGCCCCGAATCGTCGTGCTTCGAGCAGATTCGTGCTCCTCCTCCTCCTCCTCCTCCTGCTCCTCCTCTTTGTCCTCCTCCTCCTCCTTGTCCTCCTCCTCCTCGTCCTCCTCCTCCTCCGCCTCCTCCTCCTCCTCCTCCTCCTCCTCCCCTCCTCCGCCTCCTCCTCCTCCTCCTCCTCCTCCTCCTCCTCCTCCTCCTCCTCCTCCTGGAAAGCTCAGAATCATCGGGGCTGCCCAGAGATCCAACGTACTGAAAAAGCTGACGGCGTTTTTTTCCAGATTTCGGCCTCTAGGGGCCCTCGCCGGGCCGCGGGGCCTTCAAAAAACGACGCAGGATGAAAAACCGGCCCTGGGGACTGGGTCGAGACTTCCAGGGACCGCGCATTGAAAAAATCACGACATCGGATCTCTGGGGGCGTCACTGCAGATCCGTGTTTCGCGGGCCCAAACCAGAGGTGCCCAGACCGGAGCTTTCCCGGACGAGTCGGGCGTCCAACCATACGCCGGTCACAACCAAGTGGATTTTTCTGGAGGGCTTCTCAGGGTAGAACCCGCTGACCTCGACATGAGCGCTTTGGTTGTCGTTGTGGTCGATTTGCCCGCCCTGTGACGTCACATCGACCACAACCAGCACGAAGCTGGTTTGGGTGTTCTGACTTCTGACGATTGTTGGCGTAGACGGGACGTCCCCCAGGGTGCGTCCTCGATGTGGTTGTGGTCGCTTGCTGTCCCCGCAATTCCGATCCGATCGATCCGATTCGATGATTATCGATTTCGGTCGGCCCGATCCAATTCGATATCGACAGCCCGACGATCCGATGCGTCCCGAGGCTTGCGTGGGTGGTGGGCGCTGTTGCGCATTCTTGTGCAGCCGATCCGATTCGATTGCGATTCCGTGCCGACGTAGCCCGGTCCGATGCACAGTCCGGCTCGATCCGATTGCGAAGGCCTTACGGCCGGTGCCGCCGACCCTGTTCGCAATGCGCAGCAAGAGGCACGGGCTGTGGGATGGTTTTGGGGAACGGGGAGAAGGACGAGAAGGTGGGGGAGGGAGGTGTCGTATCTGACCCGGGACTTCCCCGGGACTCCCCTGGGACCCCCCCCGGGACCCCCCCTACCCCCCCGTCGGGGAAGGGAAAGGGAAGGGGCTTCCCTTCGACTCAATTACGACGTTGCTCAAGGTCGGTACGGGGGGGGGGCGTCGTATCTGACCCGGGGGGGGGGTCGCTACCCCCCCCCCCTCCCGGCGGGGGAGGGATCAAAGGGAAGGGGCTTCCCTTCGACTCAATTACGAGGTTGCTCAAGGTCGGCTTGGCTGGAGCCCAGGGGAAGAGGAGTCCCAGGGGGGGGCGTCGTATCTGACCCGGGGGGGGGGTCGCTACCCCCCCCCCCTCCCGGCGGGGGAGGGATCAAAGGGAAGGGGCTTCCCTTCGACTCAATTACGAGGTTGCTCAAGGTCGGCTTGGCTGGAGCCCAGGGGAAGAGGAGTCCCAGGGGGGGGCGTCGTATCTGACCCGGGGGGGGGGTCGCTACCCCCCCCCCCCTCCCGGCGGGGGAGGGATCAAAGGGAAGGGGCTTCCCTTCGACTCAATTACGACGTTGCTCAAGGTCGGCTTGGCTGGAGCCCAGGGGAAGAGGAGTCCCAGGGAAAGGGAAGGACAGAGACGACGAGTACAAAGAATAACGGAGATGACGGCTCGAACGGAAAAGCCCCTCACACACGCCGACAGGGTCGGCGGATTTTCCAATTCGAGGTCGATTGATCTAGGCCGGGTCGCCGCCGAGCGTCGAGGGAAGAGACATTTTACCCCCTGGCGATAACGGGCGTGACGGAGGGGGTGGATGGGGGGGAGGGGGCTGGTAACGTCATGATTAGCGCCGGCGCCGCCTGGGAATGTTTTGGAAATTGGCTAATTCCCAGAAGGCGGTGTCGCGCATCGTGACGTGACCAGGGGAGAAAGGGGGGGTGGCGGGGCCGGTAGCAGGCGTTATCGCTAACCAGAAGGTTGTCCAAATAAACTCGATTACCATTCCTTAGACAGCCTGTTCCCTCCCCTCTCAGTTGTGGGGGGTGCCGGCACATCAGGGAGAGTAGTACGCAACGTTTCCCAGTGACGCTTGCGCCCGTGTTATTGTGCCGCCCACCAAATCTGCAGTGCCAGAAACACACAGCGGGAATCTGTTCGCCTTGCGCCCCAGGGACCTGCGCGCTCTCAACGTGACGCTGGGCCACCCGGGCACAGTGTCGTTCGAGGTGCCGCCGCACCGCTTCCCGAACGGCTCCGCGACTCGCCAGGCTTGCTGCGAGTGGGGATGAGGGAGCGGGAGATGGAAGATTGGAAAGGGCAGGTTGTGGGGTGTTTTTTTTTTTTTTTTTTTTCTCTCTCTCTCTCTATATATGTGGATATTGGTCCTCAGTTTCATGAAGGGCTCGTGGACCATGGTGCACACCCTGAGAGGTATCCTCGGCCAACAAAAGGTAACCCTTCACATCCTTCACTTGCAGTAATCTCTGTTATCCAGATCGGGGAGCGTTAGCTTGCCTAGGTAGTGTGTGTGCATATATATATATATATGTATATATATGTGTATATGTAAACACGGTTACATCTACAATGCCGCACATACATCTCGTTATCAATAGTTCATTTATGGATCGAGGGAAACATGTACATATATACATAATAGATATACAGATTGGCCTTCGGCCCATCCCGCCACCGTGCCTGGGTGGTCAGTCAGAGGACCCTTGGATGCCTGAGAGGATCTGTTGGGAGACCTCTCGGACGCTTCTTGGACGTGGTTTTTACGGGTGTGTTGATTGTCTCGGGGGCCTCTTGGGGGCCTCGTGGTGTTTGGTTAGGGCCTCCTTGGGCCTCTTTGGGGCCTCTTGGGGCCTCTTGGGGGCACCTCGGGGGTCTCTGGGGATCTTGGTGCCATCTTGGGGGGGAGGGCTCAAAATGCCAGTTCGTGTTCCCCCTCTTGAGCCCCTGTTGGGGCTGTCTTGGGGGCCCCTTGGTGCCCTCTTGGGGGTTCTTCGGGGTCCTCTTGGGGGGCTCTTGGGTTGTTTTTGGGCGATCCCGGGTGTCTCTTGGGCCGTCTTGGACGCTCTGAAGACCAAAAGGCGGTTATTCGAACATCATGCAAGACACACATGCTTTTGGACGATTTGGGTTTCTTGGGCCGTCCTCCAGGCGTCCAGGAACGCTCCACGACGGTTATCGAAACCCCCTTAGGGCATGTTTCGACATGCATTTGCCGAGCAACGCGCTCTTGACCTCTGGAAAGAAAAGTCACGCGGGAGCTCCCTGGGAGCGCGGAGGAGCGCTTGGGAGCGTCCGAGAGCGCCCGGAACTCCGGGCTCTTGGCCCCTTACAGAGTATTTGCAGAAGGCAACACAGAGGGCGCAAGGGCATCTGAGGACACTCCACGTCGTGCCTCGAGGCACGGAGGTGGATACTGATCTATATATAGATACGCATGAGTATGTTTGCCTATAAGTCTGTCTGTGTGTCTGATTGCCTGTCTGTATGTATGCATGTTTGTGTGGATGTGTGTACGTGTGTATCCATGTATGTATGCACATGCGTGTGCATGTATGTATGTATGTATGAGTATTTGTATATCAGTATGCGTGTAAGTACGTATGTAAGTATGAACGTATGCATACATGCATGCTCATATGCATGCATGGATGTATGTGTATACGCATGTATGAATGCATGCATGCATGCATGCATGACCATATGTATGTATGCTTGTCTGTATACATCTACGCATCAGTACAACCATGAGTTCATGCACGTATGCATGTGTGCATGTGTGTATGTATGCATGTATGTGTGCATGTACGTATGCATGTATGCATGTAGGTATGCATGTATGCATGCATGTATGTGTGTACGCATATATATATATATATATGTGTGGGTGGATGTATGTGTGTATGTGTGTATGTATGTATGTATGTACGCATGTATGTATGTGTGTGTATGTACACCTTCTTATACGTGTGTACGCGCGTACGCACGTACGTACATTTGTGTTGTTCTATGTGTATAGGTTCGCATGTATGTGTGTACACATGTCGCATACACGCATGTATGTATATATGAATGCATTTATGTATGTATATCGGTGTGTTTGTATGTATGTATGTGTGTATGTATGTATGCGTGCGCATGTATGGTAGGGATGTGTGTATGCGTGCATGCATGTCTATATGCATTGATGTAACTATATATGTATGCACACATGTATGAATTCATGCATGCATGTATGCATGTGTACAGAAATACACATCTGTATACTCATGTATATATACGTATATAGGTCAAATTGTGTGCGTATGTTGATTCGGTTGTTGCCCCTGGTCTGCGCCTGTGCGTTTGCCACTTGCACGGTATTGATTAATCCAAGATCCCGCTGCTGGTCCTACGTAGTCCCATGTGTCCCTACGTGTTCCCTGGTGTGCCCATCGGCTCCTACGTTTTCGCGTGTGCACCCATGCAGTCGTTTGTATCCAAGTTTATCCACATGTGCTCGGACACATTTCCGCTACCAGCTTGGCTCAAGTCTGGTTTCGAGTAAGGCTGGAAGGTTTCAACATTCATTAGTTGTTGGTTACAGCGTTTCTTCAAGCACGGCCGTCCGTCTGGGGAGCCTCTTGGGTCGTCTTGGCCTTCTCTTGGGCCGTCTGGGGGCCCTCTTGGGGTCCTCTTTGTCTGCCTTCGGGCGATGTTGGGGACATCTGGGGCCGTCTTGAGGCGTTGGAAGCCCGAACAGGCAAGAACGCTAAAAATTATAATGTGGGACTAGCGGCCATGTTTTGGAGCTTTTTTGAAGCTCTTGGGGGCCTCTTGGGCCATCTGGAGGCCATCTTGGGTGCATTGGAGAGCTTGGCGACTCAGGGCCCTCTTGGATTGGCTAAGGTACCTCTTGGGGTCCTCTTGGCCCGTTTTGGGGCCCCCCTGCAAGGGAAAGGTCACTCGGGAAACCCCTGAAGGCACCCCGGACGCCCTGGGAGGCACGCAGGAAGTCCCAGTAGGGCCCAGCATTCGGGGCCGTGGATTCCTCGCGGAAAATGATTCACCACCCCGACCTAGAGGACTCTTTGGGAGCTGAGAAAACTTCACTTCGTGCCACGGGGGATGGCTGGTGATGTGTATATATATAGAGAGAGAGAGGCAGACAAATCTGGTTATATGTCTAGATGCACACACACACACACCGTACCTCTCCGAGGGAGTAGAGCTCAGATGCGACTAATTGAAGCCGTCCCGTTCGCGGTTGCGCTTGGGACATCTCCAACATTTGAAGATCGATCGTATCCCTCACGCAGATCGCGACGTCAGACTGATCAATTTGCACCCCTCACGCAAATTGAGCAAATCGCACCCCAAAACAGAAAACAAATGGCAGCACAGAACCGAACCGAACCGAAACAGCGCGAACGAGAATCCCCCAACGGAAAGCATACTGACCCCCAAACGGGAAATACGCAGATCGATCAAGTGGGAACACATGGTCCCCAGCATTTTTTTATCGTCATCGTGGTTTCAAGGCCGAGTGCCAGTTCTCTCGAGCTCTTCCGCCGAGCGAACTCCGACTGCCGAAACTGCGATCCGATGACCCTCCTTCCCCGCCCCTCCCCCGCGTGGGGCCGCCCCCCGCGGGCACGCCCGCGCCGGAGGTCCGCTGCCGCGGCGCTGGCCACTGCCTCGTGCCGGCGCGCTCCCTGAGGACCGCGCGTCGCCGGCGATCCGTCGAGAGTGCCGTGGGGCGCAGGCCCCGAGGCTGGGGCGGCGCAGTCGTCCACGAGGGGCGGCTCCGCCCCCTCACAGAGCGGTATCGTTTAACCGTCGAAAGTGCCGTGGGGCGCAGGCCCCGAGGCTGGGGCGGCGCAGTCGTCCACGAGGGGCGGCTCCGCCCCCTCACAGAGCGGTATCGTTTCACCGATCCCCATCCCCATCTCCATCTCCTTTCGAGGCCCCCACCGAATTACCGCCCCACTTGAGGATGCACCCCTCGAGGCCCGAAAGAGAACGACCTATATCCCCATCTAGGGGGTATGTCGGCCAGCGGGGCCCAGGCCACGCCTCTGGGGATGGGGATCGGCGAAACGATACTCAGCAGAGCGACCTGGCCCGAGGAGAGCAGAAGGAAGATAGGGTCCGGGGCTCCTGTCGAGTTGTGTCGCGAGGCTGCCGTTTTTCCAAGGTCGGACATCGTGGGGGTCCAGAGGGAGGCGAGTCTTGGAGGCAGTGTTCGTAGCCGTCGGCTCCCCGCCGGGGGCCCTCCCAGGGCCCGGGGGCAGTGGACAGGGGCAGGCAGGACGGCAAGGTGGTCACGTGGAATCATTAGGAGCGAAAGAAGGACGTACATGTACATGAATCCACGCTGGGTTTCGAGAGTTCGCATTGCGCGAATGTTCGTATCGCGCGGCAGGTCTCGCGGGTCAAGGGGCCGTGTTCATGTACATAGCTGGGCGCGTACGTCCTTTGTGTGCTCCCTATGGAAAGCCCCCCTGGGGTCCAAGGCTCTTTTCCCCCAGGGCCCGTCGTTTGGTGCTCTGCTCCTTCCAGGCACCCTCGTCCTGCCTCCTCCCTTGCACTGCTCCGCGTCTTTCTCGTTTTCCTTCTCCTCCTCGTTCTCCTCTTCCTCCTCCTCCCTCCTCCTCCTCCTCCTCTTCCTCCTCCCTCCTCCTCTACATGCATGTTCCACGTTTACCCTCTTGCTCCTCTTCCACCTTGTCCCTTCACGGGTCTAGCATCTAGCCATAAGGCAGTTTTCTTTTGTTACGGCGGCGGGCAGCTTATGCAAGTCGGCGGTGTATACGAACGGACCGTCCACGACAAGTACCATGAACCCAAGGTGCTGCAAGACATCTTCGGTATCTTCGTCGGGTGCGCTATGTGTGGTCCATGCTGATGGCAGGCCGTGGTGCGTTCATATTCCTTGGAGTGCTGCGTGTTGAGAAATCTTGGGTAGCGCGTCAGTCAGAAATGGAGTTCTGGCAATGTCTCGTAGACGGAATCATGCGGTATAGTGGTATGGTTGGTGGCGATATTGCGTAACATAAGTCAGAAACATACTAGTGATTGTGTATAAGGGTGAAGAAGAGTATGCTGGTGTTGTTTCAGAGCAGCGGAATGGTGTGCGTAGCGGTCACAATGTGCACAGCCTATCCCACCACCACGTCGAAGCTACATCTCATGAGGACCCACCATATAGGGACCCCCATTGGATTCCATTGCGAAATCCCACAACATGACAGGATGACGTGTGTCGCCATCCTGTCATGTTGTTTGCAATGCCAGCCACAGCAGGGAACAATTTGGAAAACAGCCCTGCGGCCATGGCACGCGCTGGCTGCGACAAAGATGGTACAACCGTTATTGCTGTTGTGGTTGCCGCATTAGAGTTCATGAACGAGTCGTTGAGGGCATCTCCTCAGAGAGTTTGTTTCATTGATGGTTTAGCATTCCAATGCCCAACAACCAAACAACTTTGACTTGTGCTCTTGTATTCCTGTTGCCCGCCACCGCGTTTTATCTCACAGGCACGCCGCGTCCTCTATCTTCCTCGGGCCTGGATACTTGTACGTACGTACTTCTGTGCACTGTGTCCTGCCGCCTCGCCTACCCGCAGCCCCCGTTCTCCACGGTCGCCCTCTCCCTCCCCGCCTCCTTGGTGCACGTCTGCGGTTTCGCCACCCGACCTCGGCCCACCCGCGCTTAGCGATCGCCAGCGCCGCGACAAAAGAAGTGCGCGCTGCGTTCTGCCATAAGCCTCTGGCCACTCCGTAGACACGCTGACGGCGATGCAGGTGGCGGCGATGTAGGTTTCGGTACCGTGGGAACGCGTGGCTCGCGCTTTCCTGCAACTCGCTGCGTCGTTGTCGTTCGGTACATTTGCATATTGGAAGTGAACGAAGTGTGGGTTCGTGAGTTCCTACGAGTTGGTTCCCAACATCACCGTTAGGCAACATCGCCGTTGGCGCGGCCCTGGCCACTCCCGCCCTGCACCCGCCTCGCACTCCCCAAACCGAGAACCCCGACGTCATGATCTGCTGTTTACTGCGTCGACCCCAAGAGGTCTCGATCAGGGCTGGACCTAAACGGTGTTTTGTCGATTTCGTGGGCCGTTTTCGTTTCGACTTCGTTTTGCGGTAGAGGTGGATTGAAGACGCAACGGGAGAAAACGAAAACAAAACGAAAACGAAAAACACTGTTGAGGTTCAGCCCTGGTCTCGACCCCTTCCGCGGGACCGGTTTTTCATCCCGAGTCGCTTTCTGACGGTCCCGAGGCCCGGTGAGGGCCCCTCGGAGGCTGAAGACAGCGACAGACCATCCGCCGTGATTTTTTCACGACGCGAGGGGGGGTCTGGGAATGCAGGAAGACCTCCAGTGTGCCAATCGTTGTGGCCGCCGCGCTCCCCGCCGCGCGCTGCTCGTGCGCTCTTCGGCGGCAGGTCACGGGAGCCCTGCGTCTCCGTGCGATTCCGTCGTGAGCGTGCGCCAGCGTCGGTTCGGGTGTGGAAACCGATGAGACAGGGCCGATTGATGGAAGGATTGCAAAAAAACCGAAGGATTGCAAAAAAAAAAACGTTGGGTTTTTTTGCAATCCTTCGAAGGTGTTTTTGCAATCCTGGTTTTTTTTGCAATCCTTCGATGCAGCGTCGATGTGGCGTCGATGTAGCGTCGACTCGCGTCGACTCGCAGGAGCCAGTAAGATGGTACGGAAGGCTCCTCCGCAACCATTCTGGCTCAAGCCGCACATTTGGGCTCCGGTCACAAGGTGCCGCTTCATCGATCATTCTGGCTGCCAGCCAGTCGCGCTGGCTGTTTACGATGGAAAGGCGACTATTTTCGATCCAAGCGGTCGTGGAGGACTACGTCTCAAGCGTCGCGCCCAGTTCGTCGGCCTTTGGTTTTGTTACCTTGGTGCCATGGAGCTCGCAGGATCAGCCTGCCAACGTGCTGGCCCCCGAGGCAGGCAAGAGAGAGATAAGCCAGGGCAACATCACCCAGATGGTGAAGCAGCACGAGGCCGTGGTGATCCCGTCCGTGTACAAGACAATTCGGGAGAAGAGGGGCCTGACGCGTCTCTTGGGCTATCTGACGGCCGTGCACCCTGACGCGGTCGTTTTCTTGGTGCAGCTGCCAGATCGGTTGGGTACCGAGCTGACCAAGGTCTACCTCAGTACCTTGATGGCGCGGCAGGATCCGCTCTACAGCTTTGGAGCGAGCGGCGTGCTGATGGAGCTGGAGGGTGACCCAGAGGGTTTGCAGCAGAAGGTACGTCTGGAGCTTGCTCAGAACACCGCGATTCAGCTGCGTGTGCAATGCTACGAGAGCACCCTGAACGCGGGAGTAATTTCTCCCAGCAAGCTCCAGACCATCGAGGACGAACACGATCGTGTTCTCTGGGAGGCCATCCCGAAGCTGCTAATGCCCGGTTTCCCTGCTCTAGACAAGCACTTGCTGGAGCTTGGGGACAGGGTTGGAGAGTTCTGCTTGGTGCAGCAGTACGCAAATCATCAGCACGTCTTGTTGGCTGTTAACGAGCAGCACGAGAATGTTGTGATCAAGATGCGCAACAAGCGCAGCGTCACCACTGCCGAGGAGGTGGAGAGCATTTACCAGGAGTTCAACCTCCTGACGCACACCCTCGACCACCCACACATCATCCGCTGCGTAAGCATGCTGCACAGCCAGTCTCATGTGCACCTGGTGCTTCAGTATGGCGGCGACTTTTGCATGGAGCAGGTGCTGTCGACTCAACCAGGCCGCCATTTGTCCAGGGACGACGCCGCGGACTGCACCACCCAGATCGCGAGTGCTCTGTCCCATTGCCACGCCAATGATGTTACTCACGGGCAGGTGTCGCTGAGGCACGTTTCCGTAGAGATGGCGAGGAATCGGCTAGTTTGTCGCCTGGTGGACTTCAGCATGGCAGCCCACGTTCCTGACTCCAGCACGCGGGAGACCATGTGCGGTTCTCTTCCGTGCGTCGCTCCGGAGACAGCGCTGGGGGAGCCGTACCGGCCCAAGCCGGCAGACTGTTGGAGCCTAGGGGTGGTGCTTCTGGAGACCGCTTGCGGGCAAGGCTCGCTCGAGCTCTCGGTGCCATGGCGCCGTTTCGCACACCTCGCGCAGGCCATGCGGGAGATACTCGGATTCTTCGCCCAAGCCGGCTCCCATGCCCAGGCGATGGCGAGCATGGACGGCGTGCACGACGGAGCGGCGTTGGCGTGCCTGGAGGCGCTGCTGAGGCCCGAGCCCCTCCGCAGGGCGAGCGCCTCCGACGCGGTAGACTTGCTGTCAGCCAGGCGCGTGAAGGCCGCTCGTTAGTGGGTGGTTGCGCCCACTCGTGGGAGATGGTAAGGTGTCCCTCGAAGAAACAGGGCGCATTTGCATCCATCTGCATACGCTTTTTCACGAATACTAGCTCTTTCGAGCTCCAGGCAGACTAGGCACTTTCGCCCGAATTTTTCAAGCACTACACGTTGCGGTGTTCGCAGGTGTTCGTGCTTCGGCGTTTGTCTGAGCGTCTTCATGGAGAGACTCCGTCACAGTTTCTTCGTCCCTCTTCTTTTTAACTGCATCCATTGCTCCAGACGTCTGGGTGGACAACGTGTCTACATCTCTCGATGTCGATGACACACTTGTTTTCGACTTGCGAGGTATTGTCGACGCTGATGTTATGATTCCAGTTTTTTAAGGCAAAGGCATCCAGTATACTAACTCGCTGACTCCCATATGAGATTACGTTTTGCAGCACTCCTCATCACCTTTGGTCGCAATGGCAATCAGGAGGGTCAGCTTCGATCAAGTCGATGCTATTTGATCCAGCCCAGCCAATTAGCAGCCACTTTTTTATTTCGCGCGCCTCTGCGCTTGGCGATTTTGCAGGCGTTCTGTCTGTCCCCCCCCCAAGCCCTCTCTGAGTGCATGCCCATGGTAGGAATTGTGAGAAGCACCAGGGGGAGGGTAGCAAATACACTCCTCAGGTGGATGACATAAGAGAGCACAAATCACCCTGAGAGGCAAGCTGCTCAGAGAAAAATTTGGGCCGATCGTCGCGAGCCGTCGAGCCCAGGGCATGCTGCCGACACCTCGGGGACACCGAGCGACGGCTGCGCGCCCCGGTTCGTGACCGACGGGCCAACGCCTCCTTCCCGGACTCCCCCCTCCCACCTGCCACCTTCTCACCGCAGCCAGCGCCGCCCTGCAGCGAGGGGCCACTCCCGCCGATGCGGCGCCGACGGGCGCCTGCCAAGTCGTGGGCTGCACATGGAACGTTGACGGCAGAGCGTGCCGCCACCGGGGCGCGACCACGACGGAGGCGTGAGCCAGGGCACTGCCACTGAGCCCGTTGGCTCACTCGGCCCCCGATCCCAAGGCTGGGTGGAGGACGAGGAGTGGAGGAGGGGGGAGGAGGGGCCGATCGCGAAGCGACGAGGCGTGGTCCGCACAACTGGCCCGAGCACTCGGCCCTCCCGCGGCCGCGCGCCCGCCGACGGGCGCCGCGCTTCCCGCCGGCGCGCTCCGAGGGGGAGTGGCGCAGGCGGCCCGCCGTGGCCGCGTGCCGCGGGGCTGGCGGACGGGCGCCGCGGGCATCGCGCAGAGGGGAGTCGGGCAAGCCTGGCGCCCAAGCGGCGCACTGGCCGAGAAAGAGTGGCACGCGTCAGCTGCGTGGCGAGGGGAGGGAGCAGAGGAGGGAGGAGGGAGGAGAGAGAGGAGGGGAGAGGGGGGAGGACGCCAGAACAATTCGCGCCGGTGCTCTGGCAAGAGCGCGCAGGCACTGGAGGCCCACTGCCGCTTGGGTCTCCCTCTCTTATCTTGCACTTGTGCCCCCATAGCCTGGGAAGCGTTGCGCCAGGCTCGCGTGTAAAGAAACTTTGTGCCCATCTCGCAGAGGGGAGTTCCGCAAACCCTGGGGGCATCTCTTAATTCTTTGTTCTGCTTTTCACGCTGCCGTTGAATTGTCTCGCATCGTGGTGGCTCAATACTTCTCTCGTGATCCTTTTAATTTCTTTAGCGGCCCGCTGAACGTCGACAGTGTCCTGATCCTCGTGACGTTCTGATGCTGTTGTGGGACTTGCTGGGCGGTTGTCTTTCATGAGCATCCAGGGTCATGAAACAAAAAAAGATGGTGCGAGAGGCTCCCATGAGTTGCCGCAGAAGACTCGTGGGCCTCGATTCGATGCGGTGGTTCGGGATCTACATCTGGTCTGGTCAACGTTCGGGTAGATCGAGTCTTTTAAGGGGATGCCCGGGTCGGTAGAGTTTCTTCAGGTTCTGGAGCACTGACCTGATTCATAGTGGCCCTGAGGCGGCAGTTCCATTGTGGAATGGTCAGGTCATTGCTTGAGCGGCTTACGTGGCATTCAAGCAACTCCCTCGGACTACACCATCCTGATTTCCTGTCGCCTTGGTGGACAGGGGAGGCGATGTAAACGCTCGGAGCGCGGATCTCTCTGGACTCCTTCATGTTTGTTGGGATACGTCTTTACATCTAGGAGGGGACGATGCGTACATACATGCAGACATACAGTCACGAATGCATACGCGTGTCCCTGCATGCATACACACAAGCATGCATGCATGCATGCATGCATGCACGACTCCATACATACATAATACACGCATCCATACATACATACACATATGCATAAGTGCACACCTTCACACATACGTACGTGCATACATGCCAACATGCGTATACAAGCATCCATACATACATGCATGTACACTTGCACCTACACATACACATACACGCATACAACCATGCCTCAATCGATACATACATGCATGCACACATGCATGCTCACATACATACATACATCTAGATGGTCGCACCCCCCAATAGCCACCTTTTTTGGGGTTCTGAACTGAACGTGCAAGTTGCCTGTCTGTCCTCGCCTCTTCCCCGCCCCTTCCTCGCTGGCGCAACGCTGCGCAAAGGCGAGAGAACTACCATTACAACCTTGCAGAGAGAACTCGGACAGAGGTCTGGGAGGAAGGAAAGCATGTGATTCCATTGAAGGTTTATGATTTTTGTCTGGCCTGGAAGACAGGGTTACCTTTGAATTCATTTGTTTTTCTGGCTTGTCTGGTTTGGGAGGAAGGAAAACCTTTGGTTTCAAGCGTTTTCTGTTTTTTTGTCCGGGATTTCAGAAAACCTGGCCAGGCGTTGGTGTTCTGTGTTTTTTTGTCTGGGATCTCAGAACACCTGGCCAGGCGTGTTTTTTTGTTCTGGCCTGGAAGCTCAGGGAACCTGGCCAAGCGTTGTTTTTCCCGGCGGAGCCGGGTGAAATTCCGTGCCCGCCGATGACTGACTGACTGACTGATTGACTGATTGATTGACTGACTGATTGACTGACTGATTGACTGACTGATCGTCAGGAGGACACCTTGTACAACACATCTCAAGCCGCCCGCGGGCGCGCAACCGCAACTGGGCGACGCATTTCAACCCTCCCGCGAGCGCGCAACCGCAACCGCAACTGGGCGCCACATTTTTCCCGCCCGCGGGCGCGCAACCGCAACCGGCATTGGGCGCCCGCGGGCGCGCAACCGCTACTGGGCGACGCACTTCAACCCGCCCGCGGGCGCGCAACCGCAACTGGGCGACACATTTCAACCCGCCCGCGGGCGCGCAACCGCAATCGCAACTGGGCGATGCATTTCTACCCGCCCGCGGGCGCGCAACCGCAACCGCAACTGGGCGACACTGTTCGACCCGCCCGCTGGCGCGCAACCGCAACCGCAACCGCAACCGGGCGACACGTTTCAATCCGCCCGCGGGCGCGCAACCACAACCGCAACTGGGCGACGCATTTCAACCCGCCCGCGGGCGCGCAACCGCAACCGCAACTTGGCGACATTTCAACCCGCACGCGGGCGCGCAATCGCAACTGGGCGACACATTTTGACCCGCCCGCGGGCGCGCAACCGCAACCGCAATTTGGCGACAATTCAACCCGCACGCGGGCGCGCAATCGCAACTGGGCGAAACATTTCGACCCGCCCGCGGGCGCGCAACCGCAACCGCGACTGGGCGCCACATTTTTCCCGCCCGCGGGCGCGCAACAGCAACTGCAACTGGGCGACACACTTCGACCCGCCCGCGGGCGCTCAACCGCAACCGCAATTGGGCGACACATTTTTACCGCCCGCGGGCGCGCAACCTCAACTGGCCGACGCATTTCAACCCGCCCGCGGGCGCGCAACCGCAACCGCAACTGGGCGACACATTTCAATCCGCGCGCTGGCGCGCAACCGCAACCGCAACCGCAACCGGGCGACACATTTCAATCCGCCCGCGGGCGCGCAACCGCAACCCCAACTGGGCGACGCATTTCAACCCGCCCGCGGGCGCGCAATCGCAACCGCCCGCACGGGTCACCTGCCGCCATCTTCCAGGGGATTTGAGGCGGAGGAAGGGCGGGAGGGAAGTGGGAGGGAGGGGGGGGGGAGGAGGGAGGCGGGAGGGAGGAGGAAGTATGGGGGGAGGGAGGGGAGACGGAGGGAGGGTAGAGAGGTCACTATGACCGGGGGCGGACAACTTCTGCCCTGGTTTCTCTGGTCAGGGAGCTCAGAAAACCTGCGATTTCATTTGCTTTTCTTATTTTTCTGGTCTGGCTGTCTGGCGGCAGTGAGGTTGCAACTCGCACGGTCACCATGCCAGGTTTCGTGAGCTCCCAGACCAGAAAAAACCAGGCAAACCAACGCCTGGACAGGTTTCCTGAGCTCCCAGACCAGAACCCCCCCAAAAAAAAACGCATGACCAGGTTTTCTGAGATCCCAGGCCAGAAAAACCAGAACAAATCAGAGGCAGCAGCGTGGAATGGGGACTCCCCGCTGCAATGTCCCGGCGGAGAACCGCGGGTCACGCCCGGAGGCCGCGAGGAGGACATCCACCTCCACGCCCATATCCTCCTTGACGTCCACCACCTCATCCTCCTCCGTCATCCGCAACAAGTGCCTGCTCGTGCACCTTCTCAAGCAGCACCACCCTGGCATCCCCCCCCCATCGTCCTTCTCATCCTCCTCCCCCTCCTCCTCCTCCTCCTGTTCGTCGTCGTCCTCCTCCTCCTCGTCCTGCTGCTCCTCCTCCTCCCTTACCTCATCCTCGTCCCCCCCCCTCCTCTTCCATCTGCTCCTGCGCCAGATCATGAATAGGACGCGGCAGACTGCGTGAATAAGACGGCGCCGATGCACCTACTTCCGCGGGCAGCTTGCGCGCGGGTGAACGCGCAATCGACCCCCGCGGCATCGCCCCCCCCAACTTCAAAGTAGGCGGCGCAGCGGACCGCTTCTGTCAAAGCCTCGTCTCTCCCCTCGGGGCCGTTTAACCCACCCGTCCCGCTAGCAGACCGTGCAGGCCTTGGATAACGAATCCAGGGTCTGCAGCCTTGTAGAGATCCACTTGCGTGGAACGGGGGGGGGGGGGGCAGAAGTTGTCCGCCCAATCATTGTGACCTCTCTACCCTCCCGCCGTCTCCCTCCCTCCCCCCCATACTTCCTCCCCTCCCGCCTCCCTCCCCCCCCCCCCCCCCTCCCTCCCACTCCCCTCCCGCTCTTCCTCCGCGTCGGATCCCCTGGAGGACGGCGGCGGGTGGCCCGTGCGGTTGCGGTTGCGCGCCCGCGGGCGGTTTGAAATGTGTCGCCCAGTTGGGGTTGTGTGTGCGCACCCGCGGGCGGGTTGAAATGCGTCGCCCAGTTGCGGTTGCGCGCCCGCGGGCATATTGAAATGTGTCGTTTTTTTGCGGTTGCGGTTGCGCGCCCGCGGCCGGGTTGAAATGTGTCGCCCAGTTGCGGTTGCGATTGCGCGCCCGCGGGCGGGTTGAAATGTTTCGCCCAGTTTCGGTTGCGGTTGCGCGCGCGCGGTCGGTTCGAAATGCGTCGTCCAGTTGCGGTTGCGCGCCCGCGGGCGGGTCGCCCAGGTGGGGTTGCGGTTGCGCGCCCGCGGGCGGGTTGAAATGTGTCGCCTAGTTGCGGTTGCGGTTGCGCGCCCGCGGGCGGGTTGATATGTGTCGCCCAGTTGCGGTTGCGGTCGCGCGCCCGCGTGCGGGTCGAAATGTGTCGCCCAGTTGCGGTTGCGGTTGCGCGCCCGCGGGCGGGTCGAAATGCGTCGCCCAGTTGCGTCTGCGGTTGCGCGCCCGCGGACGGGTTGAAATGCGTCGCCCAGTTGCGGTTGCGACTGCGCGCGCGCGGGAGGGTTGAAATGTGTCGCCCAGTCGCGGTTGCGGTTGCGCGCCCGCGGGCGTGTCGAAATGCGTCGCCCAGTTGCTGTTGCTGTTGCGCGCCCGCGGGCGGGATTGAAATGTGTCGCCCAGTCGCGGTGCGGTTGCGCGCCCGCGGGGGTGAAATTCGTTCAGTTGCGGTTGCGGTTGCGCGCCCGCGGGCGGGTTGATATGTGTCGCCCAGTTGCGGTTGCGCGCCCGCGGGCGGGTTGAAGTGTGTCGCCCAGGCGGGGTTGCGGTTGCGCGCCCGCGGGCGGATTGAAATGTGTCACCCAGTTGCGGTTGCGGTTGAGCGCCCGCGGACGGGTCGAAATGTGTCGCCTAGTTGCGGTTGCGGTTGCGCGCCCGCGGGCGGGTTAGAAATGTGTCGCCCAGTTGCGGTTGCGGTTGCGCGCTCGCGGGAGGTTTGGGATGTGTCGCCCAGTTGCGGTTGCGCGCCCGCGGGTGGTTTGAAATAGGTTGTTCAAGGTGCCTCCTGACGTTCAGTCAGTCAATCAGTCAGTCAATCAGTCAGTCAGTCAGTCACCGGCGGGCACGGAATATCACCCGGCTCCGCCGGGAACCAACGCCTGGCCAGGTTTTCTGAGATCCCAGACCAGAACAACCAGAAACACCAACGCCTGGCCAGGTTCCCTGAACTCCTATACCAGGCACAAGCACAACAACAAACACAACAATGCCTGGTAAGGTTTTGTGGGCATTCATACCAAACCAAACAAACATACAAATGTTTGGCCAGGTATCGTCGGCCACCAGGTTATAGACTATAGAACATCACACAACTACAGTCGTGAAGTGCTCCCCTGGAGCATTTCGTCTCCCGTTGGCCTGGGATTGTTTCGCCTCCGACTGGTGTGAGCTCTACGCCCCTTGGAGCATTTCGCCCCGTACCTGGCTGGAGCATTTCGCCCCCGCGTGATCTGGAGCATTTCGCCCCTACGTGATCTGGAGCATTGCGCCCCCTGGAGCATTCCGCCCCGTATCTGACAGGAGCACTTCGCCCCTGCATGATCTGAAGCACTCCGCCCCTCTGGAGCATTTCGCTGGCGCGACGCTGCTCAAAGGCGATAGAACTACCATTGCAACCTGGTCACTGTGAAATTCCCCCCAGAAGTAGAAGTCCCCCGAAAAGCTCGGACTCGCTCGTGACTTTGGAGCCGGTTGGGGGCTGAGGTGGGGCATCGTTGATTCCAGTTGCCAGAGATGGGGAGAGGGACCTCCGTGCACAGGCTTCGCTCCTGCCCCGATGGGCCACCTTCTCCCGATAGGCATCGGCTGCCGAGGCTGCCCCCCTCCTGGGCCGTCGTGGATTGTCGGGAACTCGACAAGGGGAGGGCTCCAACAGCATAGAAGAAACACCCAAAGGAAATCACATGCTTTTGCCTCTCGGGGCCCTCGTCTGGGGCCTCGGGCGCCCACTGATGCCTGCCAGGGGCCGTCCTGGCGCCTTCTTGGGGCCTCCTGGGAGCTTTTTGGGCGAAGAGCTCGAAATTTTGGATCATGCTCCCCCTCTTGAGCCCGTTTTGGGGCCGCGCCCCTGGGGCTGTCATGGAGCCCTGTTAGGCCGTCCCGGGGCCCTTTTGGCCCGTCTTGAGGTGTTTGCAGGCCTCTTTGGCCGTCTTGGATTGTCAGAAACTGGAAGAGTAGGGAACCCCCAAAGCATTGAAAATCTGTTGGGGAGTCACAGATTTTGGCGGTGGGCCTGCTGGTGCCCATTCAAAGCAGACGCCCAGCCGCCTCCAGCCGTGACCTCCCTCCCCGCCACCCGCGGAGAGGGGCGCGCGAGGAACATCTTCGCCGGCGGCGCGGCCGAGGTCTGGGCGATGGGCTCGCCGAGGGCGGCCGGCAGGCCACCGCGGCTCAGCGGGAGGAGCGGGGAAGTTCGCCAAGGGGGAAACGGGTCCTGAGGGAAGCGGGTCCTGAAGCGTTTTCAAGTTTCTGAGCTCCCGGGGCCCTCCACGGGCTCCGTGGATGTCCGAAAAAACTCAGGATGAAGAACTCGCCCGGGGGGGGGGGGGGGGGAAGGCCCCAGGAACCAGGAC